AAAAAAAAAAAAAAAAAAAAAAAAAAAAAAAAAAGAGGGGTTTGAGGGAATGGAATGTACAAAATGAAAAGCAGGAGAGAGGAAGATATGCAAGGGGCCAGGTGCGAAGTCTCACCAAGGCTCTGTCTGGTTTCTGCTCCTGTCCTTGCTGTTATCTCGGGTCCTGTGGGAGGGTGGAATCAGCATAGCTTTATTGATGTCTTCCTTGGTTTCCCAGTGTCTGGGTAGTACGTGCAAGTCTGCAGCTCCAGGCTGACTAAAAAATAACTTTACATGTATGTAAATAACATCATTTTACCCCATAACCAAGATTCAAAATATCAAATAACCAAGGGCAAAGAGGGAACTCAGAGAAATGCATGCCAAGAAAAAAGCTGTGCCTTTTAAAAATCTTTTAGAGCCCATGGTTTTAGGTCCCAACATGGCTTCAGTCCTGCTCACTCCAACATGCATAAATGCTATGAACATTTGTGTACAAGTTTTTGTGTGGACATATGTTTTCATTTCTCATGAATATATATATATATATATATATATGCGCACACACACACATATACTTGGATATATATATACACACACACTAGATCTATAAGTGGGACTGCCGGGTCATAGATCTCACACTCTAACCACTATATATTTCAGCTTGTCTTAGTCTCTGCTGTTATTTTATAATCAATAATGCCACAGGGGCCGGCCCGGTGGCGCACTGGATAGTGCGCCGCTTGGGAAGCGCGGCGGCGCTCCTGCCCGAGGGTTCAGATCCCACATACAGACCGGTTCCCGCTCACTGGCTGAGCGAGGCGCGGGAGCAACACTGAGGGTTGCAATCCCGTTGCCGGTCCCCAGTCCGGTACGGGGGCAACACTGAGGGTTGCGATCCGTTGCCGGACATGGAAAAAAGACAAAAAAAAAAAAAAAATCAATAATGCCATTGGTTAGAGTGTGATGTTGTAACTCCAAGGTCAAAGGTTTGGATCTCCACACCAGCCAGCCACAAAAAAAGAATCAATAATGCCAATGATCACGTTCATCTATTGAGTATCTTTGTTGCAAAGCCTCCACTTTTATCATCACTGATCCTCACTACTACTCTATAAAGCAGGAATCATTATTCCATTGTACAGATGAGAGAAACGGGGGCTCGCAGAAGTAAGGTGACTTGCTTGCACTCAAACAGCTGATAATGGACGGAGCTGGGACTGCGACCCACATCTGCCTGCTTTCTGTGCCCTCTGAGCCTCATATCATGTCGTGGGCCATACCGTTTTCCAGAACTTTCAAAACATGCCTCCTCTCCTCCTCTTAGGCCTTTTCTGGAAGTGAGGCTGGCTTGAAATCCCAAGAGTCAGAGCTGCAAACACTGCCACGCTCTTTTCCCCAGCTGGGGCTGAAGGCCAAGGGAGGGGCTTCCTGAGAGCTGGAAATAAAACAGAGGGAGGAATGGGCAGAGCAGCATTGCAAGGAGGCAGGGAGGTTGTGAGGGGAGGTAAGGAGTTTTTGTTTTTCGGGTCCTGGAGAGCAGGTGAGGTGGTGCTTGGTAGAGCTTTAGGGACAGGGAGTGAGGAGTTGAGGCTGCAGCAACGGGGCTTGGTAGTGCTGAGTGGGGGAGAGGACTTTCTGCCTTTGTGGGGGCTGGTCCGGGGAGCCCCCCAAGCTGTTTGAAGAAAAGGATGGTTTTATGCAACAGGGGAGGGGGCTTTTATTCCATACCCACTCTCTGTGCACTTTGTTCTGTGCCAAGCTCTCCCTATGCTGGGGACTGGGAATAGGGAGAGCACCTCAGGGCCAGGCACCCAGGGACTGGGGGGCTACAGCAGAAACAGACACTGAGGCACCCTTGGGTAGGAAGAAGGGCAGGATGAAGGGATAGTCCTGTGAGCCGCCTAAGAAGACTTTCCAAAGAGTGGGAAGCAGAGACACTGGGGCTTCAAGCCTTCAAAAGTTTAGCCCTGGGCCAGAAAAAGGCATTGCAGGCGGAGGGAACTAACTACCCATGCAAAGGCTTGCAGCATGCAAAAGCTGGAGCATGGAGTGGGTGAGCCCAGGGCTCTCTGCCTAGACCTGTGCTGTCCAATATGGGTGCCAGGAGCCACAAGTCACAGTAGCTGTTTAAATTTATTTATTTATTATTTATTTATTTTATTTTTTTTTACAGATGACCGGTAAGGGGATCTTAACCCTTGACTTGGTGTTGTCAGCACCACGCTCAGCCAGTGAGCGAACCAGCCATCCCTATGTGGGATCCGAACCCGGGGCCTTGGTGTTATTAGCACCGCACTCTACCGAGTGAGCCACGGGCCGGCCCCTGTTTAAATTTAAATAAGTTAAAATTCAATAAAATGAGGGGCCGGCCCGGTGGCGCACTGGATAGTGCACCGCTTGGGAAACGCGGCGGCGCTCCCGCCCGAGGGTTCGGATCCCACATGCGGACCGGTTCCCGCTCACTGGTTGAGCGAGGCGCGGGGGCGACACTGAGGGTTGCGACACGGACACGGAAAAAGACAAAAGACAAAAAAAAAAAAAGTCAATAAAATGAAAAAGCCAGGTCCTTAGTCACAGTAGTCACATTTCAAGTGCTCAATAGCTGCATGGGGCTAGTCACTATGGTATTGGAGAGTATGAACATAGAACGACTTCATCCATTCAAAAAGTTCTTCTGACTGGTGGAAAGCCTCAGAGGAATTCAGATTTCTTAAGGACCCATGGGAGAGAGCAGGCTCTGACCCACTGCCTACCGTGAGGTCTCTGGACCATAGGTGACAGAATGGTCCCCAGAATTGTGAGGTGGCATGACTCACCTCCTGCCAGTGTAAAATGAACTCTGTCCCCAGGGACAGGTACAAACCAAGCAGGGACTCTTCAGCCCTGACTTGGGACTCCTGTTCAGTGTGACCAGAGCCAGTGTCAGAGAAGCATGGAGTGAGTGGCGCTGGGGTGGGAGGGGCAGCTGTTGAGTGGGGCTGAGCTTGAGCATGGGGTGGAGATGGGTGTTCTCCTGCTTGGTCACAGTTGGCGCGCGTGGGGCTGGACAGGAGAAGGGCCAGGGGAGGTGTTTGTGAATTGGGACAGGAAATCAGGGCAGAGGCTTGTTGGATGGATTGGGGTGGGGTGGGGGGGGTTGGGTTGCACTGTGTCGAATGATGAGACGGGAGCCCTCCCCTCCCACTCTGAAGAACTGTTGCTGCTTCCTTCCCAGGTACAACGCAGTCCAGCTGACGAGGATGGACTATGCCATGAAGTCCCTCAGCCTTCTCTACCCCAAGTCCCTAACCAGGTGAGGAGAGCCAGGGGCAGAAGGGAAAGGTAACTAACCGTGATTTGTGGGCCAGAACTTCTCAAACTTTAATGGGTATATAAGTCGTGTGGGGATCTTGTTAAAATGCAGGTTCTGATTCAGGAAGTCTGTAAGGGGACCTGAGATTTTGCACTTCTGAGAAGCTCCCAGGTGATGTCAATGCTGCTGCTACCTCCTCCACCACCACATATTGAGAAGAAAGAGATAGACACTGTGCTTGGTGCTTTCATTCCCGATCTCATTTAAGCCTCATAACAACTTTGGGAAGTGGGGGTTATTATAACCAATTAGTAGTTGAGGAGACTGAAGCACAGAGTGGGCAATCTTAATCACCTAGCGAAGTGTAATGGAGCCAAGATTCAAACTTTGTCCTGATTGAGTCCAAAAATCCAGGTTCTCTCTACTCCTTTGGTTCTACATTTTGTATCTTAAAGTCCCAAAATACCTAATATTGACCTTGGGCTTCCCCCACTTCATCCCACTTTCAGGTGAGAAGAAAGTAAGGCCAAGAGAGGTGGTAACTGGGGGGAATGTGGGGCGGGTCCTCTATTCCCCTTGTTATTCCTCTGGGCGAGAACCACAGGATCAACATCACTTTGGAACTTGTTAGACCTATAGACTCTCAGGCCCCCCCCCCTGCCCCAGACCTACTGAATCATCATCTGTATTTGAACAGATCCTCACTATCTAGAGCAGGCTTGGTGGGTGGTAGGGGAGGAGGTACATGTGAGCCCGGTCTGGAGGGGTAAGGGAGTGAATTACCGGGCAGTGTGGTGTGGGCTGGGAGCTGCAGGCAGCTCATCCTGACGATCCAATCATCCCCAGGCATGTGGCAGTACGCACCTCGGTGGTGACCCAGCAGCTGCCGTCGGAGCCCAGCCTGGAGGCCCCCAGAGCCCGGCCCTGCCGAGTGAGCACTGCGGATCGCAGTGTGCGAAAGGGCATCATGGCTCGCAGTCTTGAGGACCTCCTCTGCAAGGTGAGGGGTGGGCCTGTGCTCTGCACAATCCAGTGGCTGGGACCTTGGCTGAGAGCTGGCCCTGCCAGCTGCCCCTCTCCTCCAGGTCAGGAGCTGGGATTCAGCAGGAGTGGAGGACAGACAGGGTTTAGAAGGTGAAAAGGTTTCCTTTCTGATGTCACCACCAATGGATTGGTAGTGCCTGCCTGGAGAGCTGTTCGATTGATTAGCAATGTCTGTCTGGTGACAGGGGAAGGGCAGTACCTTGTATCCTGCACTAATAGGTTACTGATATTTTCAGAGCATATTTTTCTTGCTGAGAAAACCCCTAGGTTCCCTTTTCCAGTTGCTCTTTTTTTTTTTTTTTAAAGATGCCCGGTTTCCCGCTCACTGGCTGAGCGTGGTGCTGACAACACCAAGTCAAAGGTTATGATCTCCTTACTGGTCATCTTTTTTTTTTTTTTAAAAAAAAAAAAAAGATGACCAGTAAGGAGATCATAACCCTTGACTTGGTGTTGTCAGCACCACGCTCAGCCAGTGAGCGAACCGGCCATCCCTATGTGGGATCCGAACCTGGGGCCTTGGTGTTATCAGCACCGCACTCTCCCGAGTGAGCCACGGGCCGGCCCCCCCCTTTTTTTTTTTAAAAAAAAAAAAAAGATGACCAGTAAGGAGATCATAACCCTTGACTTGGTGTTGTCAGCACCACGCTCAGCCAGTGAGCGAACCGGCCATCCCTATGTGGGATCCGAACCTGGGGCCTTGGTGTTATCAGCACCGCACTCTCCCGAGTGAGCCACGGGCCGGCCCCCCCCTTTTTTTTTTTAAAAAAAAAAAAAAGATGACCAGTAAGGAGATCATAACCCTTGACTTGGTGTTGTCAGCACCACGCTCAGCCAGTGAGCGAACCGGCCATCCCTATGTGGGATCCGAACCTGGGGCCTTGGTGTTATCAGCACCGCACTCTCCCGAGTGAGCCACGGGCCGGCCCCCCCCTTTTTTTTTTTAAAAAAAAAAAAAAGATGACCAGTAAGGAGATCATAACCCTTGACTTGGTGTTGTCAGCACCACGCTCAGCCAGTGAGCGAACCGGCCATCCCTATGTGGGATCCGAACCTGGGGCCTTGGTGTTATCAGCACCGCACTCTCCCGAGTGAGCCACGGGCCGGCCCCCCCCTTTTTTTTTTTTAAAGATGCCCGGTTTCCCGCTCACTGGCTGAGCGTGGTGCTGACAACACCAAGTCAAGGGTTAAGATCCCCTTACCGGTCATCTTTTAAAAAAAAAAAAAAAAGATGACCAGTAAGGAGATCATAACCCTTGACTTGGTGTTGTCAGCACCACGCTCTCCCAAGTGAGCTAACCGGCCATTCCTATACAGGGATCCAAACCCCGTGGCCTTGTTGTTATCAGCACCGCACTCTCCCAAGTGAGCCATGGGCTGGCCCTCCAGTTCTTAAACTTGTAGAAGTGCCTGGGAATTGGGGAAATGAGCAGGATTTTAGAGATTCTCTTGTCCACCTCCTACCTTCAGTCAGAGCAGTTCTTAAATCTGTCTCCCACAAGGGAGCTTCCATGGAAGGCTTTTGTTAGTAAATGTGGAAGATTTTCTTCAAACTGTTAATCAAGTAAGCTTCCAGAGGAGGAAACCACGGGCACACAGCTCCTGTGGATGGTACTAACAGCAGGCTCAAGGACACCCTTCCCATTCCCATACTTCTCCTCTCTGCTGGGAGTAACTTCTCTCTGTCCCTCATACAGCTTATCCAGTCTTGCTCTGTATTAGTCATGTGCTTCCCTGGCCCATTAGCTTATCAGCTCCATGGGGGTGGGACCACTCCCCTCATCTGCAAGCCCAGGTGCCTGGCATAGGTTCAATGTCTGGATTAGGCTTCTAAACATATAGAGTTTGTTTAACATACAGAAACCATAGCTGACCTAACCCTCTATTCTAGGTATCTTCCCTGTTCTCTGAATTAGGTCTGTTCTTCCTGAGAGCCAATTTCCCCTATCTTATGAGGCTTCTAGCCATGCCAGACTACATTTCTTGGGCCTTGAATCAAAAGGGGCTATTCACGCTGTAGTCTGGATTTGGTACTGTTTTTCACCTGAGGACTGGTGATTACCTCCTGCATCGAAATGTCTTTGTTACACGTGGCTTCCCAGACACCACCCCCAGAGACTAATTATGTCATAGGTAAGGTCCAGGGATTTTCCTTTTTAGCAGGTACTTCAGGAGATTCTCACACCCACTGAGTTTGGGAACCCCCTTGTCAGAGTCCTATCTCTGAGGGACGCAGAGAAGAATGGTGAGACTCTATCCTCTCAAGATGGTAGACAGGTCAGAAGTGAATCTCACTGATAGTTCAGGGAAGACATTGGCCTATCTAGACTGCTTTTCCAAGTTTGGCAGCAGAAGAAAAGAGGCAGAGAGAATGAAGAGAGAGTGTAAGGTCATGTAGTTGTCAGGGACCAGAGTATGAAGTCCGCTTTTGGCCATGACAAACAGTTGGGTTTCATTTTAAAAGCTAACAGGAAACCAGGCTGCAGGTTAGCTCAGTTGGTTAGAGTGCGGTATTATAATGTTTGTTAAGGTCAAGGGTTCAGATCTCAATACCAGCCAGCTTCCCCAAAAAAAAAAAAAAAAAAAAAGATAACAGGAGGGAGCGACACCAAGGGTTGCGATCCCGTTACCGGTCAGTAAAAAAAGACAAAAAAAAAAAAAAAAAAAAAAGATAACAGGAAGCCATTGGAGGATTTTTTTTTTTAACTAAGATGAAGCGATCATAAACTAACAAAAGTTACAAGAACAATATAAAACCTTTTCTGAATCATTTGAGAGTAAGTTGTCAATCTGCTGCCTATTAATCTTGGATATTTCAGTAAGTATTTCTCTACAAATAAGGATATTCTCCTATATAACCATAATACAACCATTAAAATCAGGAAACATAATGTTATGTTACTGCAGTTTAATCCTGAGACTCCATTTAAACGTTGTCAGTTCTCCCAATAATCTCCTTTGTAGCTAAAGGAGCCAGGTCAGGATCAAGTGTTTATTTAATTGTATGTCTCTTTCATCTCTTCAATATAGAATAATATCTCAGTCTTTCCTTGACCTTCCTGGCCTTGACTGTTTTGAAGATTATAAGCCAGTCATTTTGTTTGCTGTCCCTCAGTTTGTAATTATCTATTTCAGGTTGTATATCTTTGGCAGAAATATGATAAAAACTGGCTGTCATTGAAAAATTGTTAACGACATGGGGCTGACCTGCGGCTCACTCGGAAGAGTGTGGTGCTGATAACACCAAAGCCACGGGTTTGGATCCCTATATAGGGATGGCCGGTTAGCTCATTGGTTGAGCATGGTGCTGACAATAACAAGTCAAGGGTTAAGATCCCCTTACTGGTCATCTTTAAAAAAAAAAAAAGGAAAGAAAAATTGTTACCGACAGACCAGGCTCAGTTTGCCCTCTCGCATTAAACCAATGACTCGAAAGTCCAGATGTTGGTGCAAGGATTAGAAGGTTTATTCAGATAACTGGCATCTGGGTGATGACCAGGTTAAAATCATCCCACCTTCTGATGCCTGTTCTGGGGCATATAAAGAGGAAAAGGCAGGAAGATGAGGTAAGGGTCTTTGTTCTAAGAAAAAGTAGAGGAAGGGTCTGGGAGCAGCAGGTGGTCTGAGTCAAATGTTAGGGTCCCGTAATGGATTGGAAACTTCAGCATCACAGAGTCTGTGGTCAGCTTCAAGTCCCTGATGATATCTCAAGGTTGAAGTCCTTATCTCCTAGGGAGAGCTCAAGGATAACAACTTTAGTCAGACATCATAAAAATACCTGACTTGCATTTCTAATTAGCATGAATGCAGTTTTCCTTTAAGTAAGAGAGGGAGTATACAACCAGCTAGGTTGTCTGCCTCTCTTTTATCTCTCCTTTTGGTAAGAAAAACAAGAAACCCAGTTTCAGTCCTTAATTGTAGGTGCACCCCACCCTCTGAAGTAAATCAACATAGTGATTTCATCTTCCTGCAGTCTCTCAATGCTTCTGCTAACCTCGATAAGGTTTCTCTGTGTAACATTATTTTTCCTCTTCTGTTAATTATTTTCTAGGGCAGTACATGGTACTAAACAAACATCTAATTCTGCATCTAACTTTCAATTTACTCATTTATTTATATCCTAAGGGACTCAGTATTCCTATTTTAATGGGATCTAATGATAATGATGGTAACACATTATTGATGCTCAAATTGTCCCAGACTTGGCTGGTGAGACACCCTTCACCCTGACTTCTGTGTTTTTTTGCCGTGTCCCCATCATTCTTTGAGTGTTTTTTTTTACTTTCTGGTGCAAAAAGATATTGCAGGCTCATCTTGTGCTTTCCCTGCCTAGTCTTTGAATTGGCCATTTTTCCTAAGAAGGACTGCTTCATTTTAGTGGAGAGTGGAATTCAGAAACCAAGATGTGGGAACTAGGGGTATTTGATGTTACTGTGTGTTGCTGATAAAAGGATTTTCTTTTTCTTCTTTTTTTTTAAACCCTTGACTTGGTGTCGTCAGCACCACACTTTCCCAGTGAGCTAACCGGCCATCCCTACATAGGGATCCGAACTCGTGGCCTTGGTGTTATCAGCACCACACTCTCTCAAGTGAGCCACGGGCTGGCCCTAATCACAATCTTAAGGTAGTTACTACTATTCCCATTTCCAGAGGCAGAGGCCAAATTCATTCACTGGGATTTTAACTCAGTCAGTCAACTCAAGAGTCCTTACACTTTTGCATTTTATCATTATAACAACTCTAAGACTGTATTTGCCTGAGCTTTTTTAGATGAAGAAACTAGTTCAGAGAAGCGAGATAAGTTAAAATGGATCAAAGACCTAAATGTAAAAGCTAGAACTATAAAACCCTTAGAAGAAAACCATAGGTATATAAGTCTTCAAGACCTTGGTTTTCTAGATACAGCACCAAAGCACAAGCAGCTAAAGGAAAAATAATTTGGACTTGATCAACATGAAAAACATTTTTGTAACAAGGGACACTATCAAGAAAGTAAAAAGACAACCCACAGAATGGGAGAAGATATTTGCAAATCATATATCTGATAAGGGTCTAGTATTAAGAATATCTAAAGAACTCTTACAACTCAACAATAAAAAGATAACCCAATCAAAAATGGGCAAAGGATTTGAGTGAACATTTCTCCAAAGAAGATATATAGATGGCCAGTAAACACATGAAAAGATGCTCAACATCATCAGTCATTAGGGAAATACAGATCAAAATCACTTCCTATACACTGAAGTGGCTATTAGAAAGACAGACAATAACAAGCACTGGTGAGGATGTGGAGAAACTGGAATCTTCATGCATTGCTGGTGGGAATGTTGAATGATGCAGCTGCTTTGGAAAGTAGTTTGGTAGTTCCTCAAAAAGTTACACATAGAGTTAATGTATGACTCAACAGTTCTATTCTTGGGTATATACCCAGGAGAACTGAAAACATATCTCCATACAAAAACTTGTACACTGAAGTTCATATCAGCATTATTCATAATAGTCAAAAAGTGGAAACAACACAAATGTTCATCCATTGATGAATGTATTAAAAAATGTAGTATATCTACACAGTGGAATATTATTTAGCCGAAAAAAGAAATGAATCACGCAATAACACAAATGACTTTGAAAACATGCTAAGTGAAAGAAGTCAATCTAGAAAGACCCTATAATTCCATTTATATGAAATGCCTGGAATAGGCAAATCCATAGATACAGACAGTAAAGGTTGACCTTGGATGGGGAATGGGAGGAATAGGGAGTGACTGCTAATGGGTACTGGGATTTTGGGGGAGGGTGATTAAAATGTTTTGACATTAGACAATGGTAATGGTCACACAACTTTGCGAATGTATGGGTTGAGCATCCCTAATCTGAAATACTCCAAAATCCAAAATTTTGGGGCACTGATATGATACTCAAAGGAAATGCTCATTGGCGCATTTCAGATTTCAGATTTTCAGATTAGGGATGCTCAACCAGTTAAATATTTGCAAATATTCCGAAATCCAAAAAAATCCAAAACACTTCTGATCCAAAAATTTTATGGTATGTAAATAATATCTCAATAAAAAATTGCATGTGTGACTCCCATTATATTTTATTGGACAGCACTGTTCTAGACTACTGATCATGAAGGCAAGTACAAAAGGTACCATGATATAAAATCTTTGGGTGATGATCCCACAACTGTGAGCTTGGGTTCCAGTCCCATCCCATAGATCCCGACCTATTTCTTCTTTCCCTGGCAGCTGAGGTGATGTGATGTGAATCTTTCCCATACCAGCTCTGTGGCTCCGGGGGGATGATGGAAACATCACTGACCTTACTCCCCAGGTCCGGGATGCCCTGATGCTGGCAGACAAGCCCTTCTTCCTGGTGCTGGAGGAAGATGGCACAACTGTAGAGACAGAAGAGTATTTCCAAGCCCTGGCAGGGGATACAGTGTTTATGGTCCTCCAGAAGGGGCAGAAATGGCAGCCCTCATCAGAACAGGTGAGGTCCCACCTGTAGGGTGAGAAATTGGGAGCCTAGGAAAAGTCCTCGAGGGGTGCCAACCACATTACTTGTCTTGATGCAGGGGACTAGGTACCAACTCTCCCTCTCCCATGAGCCTGCCAAGAAGATTGATGTGGCCCGCATAACCTTTGACCTGTACAAGCTGAACCCACAGGACTTCATTGGCTGCCTGAATGTGAAGGCGACTCTCTATAATACATACTCCCTTTCCTACGATCTGCACTGCTACAAGGCCAAGAGCATTGTGAAGTGAGTGAATTGGGATTGGCTGGGACAGGGTAGGTAAGAAGCAAGAGAGCCTCTATCTGTCTCTGTGGACATCAGCTCTCTCAGCGCCTGGTCTGGCATTGGTGCTAACAAAGCATAACAGTTAGCATTTGTGTGGAATTATATGACTTATCTACGTGCTTTGGTTACACCAGTGTATGCCAAAGGGATACACATACTCCTGGTGAAACCAGGATACATTTAGTTTTTATGATGACCTGCTACTATAACAACTACATTTTTTCACCTAAAATAGTAAGCTTTCCTAGGTAGTCTTCTAATCAACTTGTAAAAAATAAACGTGTCAAAGATTTTACTGAACTCATTAATAAAAGAACTAGCAAGAAGTTACAATTTGTTCCAAGAAGAATCCAAAATCCCACACATATATAGGTCCATAAAAAATGATAAGATATTCTGCAAACAATACAAAAAAAGACGAGATAAATTTATACAAAATTGGATCTTTTCCATGGGGATGGGAGGGATGAAATAATCGTCCCTCCGTAAGACAGAGTTAATTTGTGTGTCTTATGAACAAGAATTATTTGTATTATCTAATGAATTTTTTTTTTTTTTTTTTACTTTTTATTCTTGAAAGTCTAATCAAGGGGCCGGCCCATGGCTCACTCGGGAGAGTGCGGTGCTGATAACACCAAGGCCAAGGGTTTGGATCCCTATATAGGGATGGCCGGTTAGCTCAGTGGGTGAGCGTGGTGCTGACAACACCAAGTCAAGGGTTAAGATCCCCTTACCAGTCATCTTTTAAAAAAAAAAAAAAGAAAGAAAGAAAGTCTAATCAACTATCCCAGCAAGCATGAGAATGTGGTAAACTGCAAGACAAGTACCGTATGGTGGTTTTTCCAAAATTCAGTTGCTCCAGTGTTGCTCTGGAACATTCTTACCCATTAGGTGGTTGTAGCCATGGAGCCTGAAGCAATACAATTAGTTCAAATCCACAAAGCTAGAGAGTAGCAGAGCATGGCCTTTAGCCAGTTTCTTCTGACAGATCCCGCTCCTCCCCAGTTGCTTCATTTAGTGTCAATTGAGTACCCACTGTGTGCCTGGCCCTATGCTGTAAGCTAAAGATGCAGAGAAGAATGAAGTATCAGAACAAGTTCCATGAGGGCAAGAATTTCTGTTGCCTCCAGTACCTTGATGAATGCTGGCACGTATTAGTTACTCAAATAATTGTAGATTGAATGAAGATGCTTATGATCCTTGTTCTCAGGGGGCTTCTGAGAAATCCTGCTCAGGGTCCCGAGAGTTCTGCTAGAATTTATGTAGCTAGAGCATATCGGGCCTTCTTGGCTCTCTTACTCTCAATTTTTTTTCTTTTTCTTCTTGGGTGGCTGGCTGGTATGGGGATCCAAACCTGTGACCTTGGTGTTATAAGGCTGCTCTCCAATAACTGAGCTAACCAGCCAGCACTTCTTGGCTTTCTTTCTTTTTTTTTTTTTTTAAAGATGACTGATAAGGGGATCTTAACCCTTGACTTGGTGTTGTCAGCACCACAGTCAGCCAGTGAGCCACGGGCCGGCCCTTCTTGGCTTTCTTAGTTTATCCTCTGCATACCCAATCTGCAGACAGGAAACTGAGACTGTGTGGTTCCACTTGTCAGAGATGACAGTCAGTGGCAGGCTGGAGCCTGGTTCTGTAGCTAGAAGTTCCATTTTCCCCCATGGATATTTCCTCTGCGATATTACTTTATCACACCCCCTCTTGATCTGGGCTTGCTGCCAGTAGTTTGCAGATTTCAAAATCTAGAGCAAGAAGTGTCAGCCTTCAAACTCAGTCCATTTAGGAGAAGTAAGACTCTCCGACCTAAACACAGTAGATATATTGGTATCAAAAAATAATAGCAAGCTGGAGTTAGCTTAGTGTCTTAGTGGTGTCACTTGGTTTTTTAAAAAATTGTGGTAAAATATACATAGCATAGAATTTACCATTTTAACCATTTTTAAGTGTACAATTCAGTGGTATTGGTATATTCACAATGTTGTGCAACCATCACCACTATTTCCAGAACTTTGTTGCAATCCCACACAGAAACTCTGTACCCATTAAACAATAACTCTCTATTCCTGCTCCCTCCAGTCCCTGGTAACCTCTGTTCTACTTTCTGTCTTTATCAATTTTCCTATTCTAGGTACCTCACACAAATGGAATCATATAATATATGAACTTTGGTGTTGGGATCATTTCACTTAGCTTGATGTTTTCAAGGTTCATCCATGTTGTAGCATGTGTCAGAATTTTATTCCCTTTTAAAGTTGATTGGCTAGGTTTTAAGCCTCAGTTTCTAATTTGAGAATTGGGTATACTGCTCAGTTATAGCCTTTAAAAATGTATGGTATTTTCATGAGCAGATATTCATGGTTCTAAGAGTCTTTCTTCCCCCCTCCACCCCCAACCAGAACATAAGTTCACTTATTGAACGAAGGTTAATAGAAGACTAACTTTTTTTTTTTTTTTTAAAGATGACCAGTAAGGGGATCTTAACCCTTGACTTGGTGCTGTCAGGACCACGCTCTCCCAAGTGAGCAAACCGGCCATTCCTATATAGGAATCCAAACGCATGGCCTTGGTGTTATTAGCACCACACTCTCCCAAGTGAGCCACAGGCCAGCCCAGAAGACTAAAGTTTTAACATCAGACAAGAAGTATTTCTTTTCCTTTTGTTTTCTTCTCCCCTACCTCCCATAGGACTAGACACCTCTAGTGACCCTCACATATGTCTTTAAGCAGGTCTAGTAAGAATTTGGTTACTCTTGTCTAGTATTCAACCAGCTGCTCTCGATCCCACGTTTCCCCTGTTTTCTACTCATTGGACCCCGTGTTACATGCTTAATGTTATTTTAGCCTCATAACCCTGTGTGGCAGGTACATTTTATAGGTGAGGAAGCTGAAGTTCAGAATAGAGCAATTTGCTAAAGTTCCCATAGGTAATAAGACTGGATTAGAACTCAGGCCTGACAGGGCTGGCTGGTGGCTCAGTTGGTCAGAGCACAGTCTTAAAACAACAAGATCACAGGTTTGGATCCCTGCACTGGCCAGCCACCAAAAAAACCAAAACAAAACTGAGGCCTGTCTGCTTCAACTTCTGTTGCCAGTACATGGTAACACCAGGCTTGCGGGTGTTCATGTCCAGCACTCTGAAAATGAGCCAGACTACAAATGACTTGGAAAGGTCTTGGAGTCTAGAACAGAGTGTCCTGAAGGACAGAGCCATGTTATGTAGATTAATCTGGCTGGCCCAAAGTAGTATTAAGAAAAACCAAAAATCCTTATTAAATGAGCTCGAGTTACGCATGAGAAAGTAGGGAGGTTCTAGACATCTCAACAAGGTACAATTGCAGGTCATGCCTGTAGGCCCTTTTCCATCTGCTGCGGGAAGTCAGCATCTATTCCTGCTTGCATAGTGCTCTAGAATTTATGAAATGTTTTTAATCTTATCACCTCAGTGGCATTCAAATTTTTTAAATAAAGAAAACTAAGAAAATGAAACCAATTCCTTCCAGGCCAGCATGGGAATATGGGGGAGGGGGTATTTAAAGGGTATTCTTCACGTTTCTGACTTGAGTGCCTTCTCATTTCCGCCCAGGGAAGCTCTTCGCTGGGCCCTGTTCAGCATGCAGGCCACAGGCCACGTGTTGCTCGGCACCTCCCATTACATGCGGCAGCTCCTTGATGCCACAGAGGAAGGGCAGCCCCCCAAGGGCAAGCCCTCATCCCTCATCCCTGCCTATCCGAAGCTACTGCAGTGAAGGCCCAAGTCTTTGGGGCCTTCCCCAGCCAGACTAGACTGGGGACCCCATGCTCAGCTGGTAGTTCCCACAAGCCTGGCAGCTATAGAGCTTCTTACCTCCCCACACCTGCCTCACCGCACAGGACCATGAATGAGGAAGCAGGAGGAAGGGCTGGAAACCTGGGGAGGCCAAAGGAGAACTTCAGCTTCCCGGCCTGGCCCAGCTCCTTCCTGCCCAAGGTAGCTTAGCTGATCAAGACTGGTCACCAAGAGGCCAAGGCATGAATGAAGTCTGCCCTTCTTCAGCAATCTGTCTTCACATGCTTCACCTTCATGACACTCCCTACCTCATGGGCCCCCCATCCCAGAATACTCCTGAGTGAATTGTCAAGCCCACTAGTGTACAATTTTAGAGAGTTTGCAATAAATTATTTATGCTGATACATCTTCTTTGCCTGTGCTCTTTAGGGGTGAGGGTGCGGCTCTACCTGGAAGGTTGGAAAAGGCTAAGGGAAGAGAGAAATCAAATCATTCTCCATAATGTAGGGTTATAGGAAACTACTTTTTCCTTAAAAAAATTGTAGTTGATTTTGGAACTAAAGTCTGCTGAATTTGAGACTTGAGCAATCATGTAATCAATATAAGTGGCAATTTCTAAATTAAATTTGCCTATCAGAATAACTTTTTTTTTTTTTTTTTTAAAGATGACCAGTAAGGGGATCTTAACCCTTGACTTGCTGTTGTCAGCACCACGCTCAGCCAGTGAGCAACCGGACATCCCTATATAGGATCCGAACCTGTGGCCTTGGTATTATCAGTACCACACTCTCCCGAGTGAGCCACGGGCTGGTACCTTATCAGAACAACTTTGGTTGGGACTGGTCAGTTAGCTCAGTGGGTTAGAGTGCAGTGTTATAACACCAAGGTCAAGGATTCAGGTTCCCATACCAGCCAGTTGCCAAAACAAAAAACAAAAAAAGAGCTCTGATTTGAGTGTGGGATTAAATCAGTTTTCTAATTTGTCAGTGTCACATTTTATAATAATGTCTTTAGTATTTAGGCGGGATAGTACCAGTCACACGGTAAGGCAATTCTCCATCAATGTCTACCCTAGCTAGCCGAACAGACTATCTTTCATGTTCAGAATTTTCAACCTCAGGATTTCAAAGTGAGCTGTTAGGCTCCCCCAAAGGATTAGTTTTTCATCAGCGTGAGCTGGCATTTTTCAGTATCAGGCAACTCAAACAAGACAAGCATGAAAGGCTGGCCTTGTAGGTCATTGTGACTCTCAGATTCAAACATGATTTTATTTCATAATGAGATAGCGTGACCCCCACTTTCATAACATACGCAATTCGCTTCTGTGAAACTGCTTGCTGCGTGACAGGGTAGATTAATTAAGTTTAAATAGTGTTTGAATTGCTTAAAAAATGTTATTGTTCATAATCCCCCTCGGCTCTTTAGCCCCCCCCCCCATAGAAGTTAAAAGCTAAATATTAGCCTGCGCTTAGAGAAGTTTGAATTTTGTCTGATGTTCCCCACCCCCTCCTCACGCCCCTGAGCAACTAACTGGCTTCTTTCAGCTTCTGTTATCAGCTTGCGCTCCACCTCCACAAACCCCCTCCTCATGCCAGGAGGGTACGTGTGTATGTGTGTGACTATATGATAACTATAAGCGTGTGACTATTTGATAATTTTAACTGTGTGACTAACTTAAAAATGTACCTTTTAAAAAACCCTCTAAACTTCAAGTCTGGGCTGCTCCCTTCTGAGACTTTCTTGGAGGGTCAGTCGCCGGCTGGCCAATAAAAACCCCCTTTTAAATTCTCAATTGCGGGCCGGCCCGTGGCTCACTCGGGAGAGTGTGGTGCTGATAACACCAAGGCCCCGGGTTCGGATCCCATATAGGGATGACCGGTTCACTCGCTGGCTGAGCGTGGTGCTGACAACACCAAGTCAAGGGTTAAGATCCCCTTACCGGTCATCTTTTTAAAAAAAATAAAAATAAAAAATTCTCAATTGGGTGTTCTGGTTCTTTTTCTGTGCGGCAGCCTCACAACAATAACCCTTAGTATGAAGCCTATTTGCATGTAGTAAATACTAAGGCAAAGGCCTGCGGTACTGAAGCTAGTCTGGGGAATTAATGCTGGCAGCAGGCCCTATCCTGTAGCCATGTGTAGCAGGAGCTGCCAAAGATGGATGAAGAGCACCTTCTATTCTGTGCCCTCCTGCTCTTGCAGTTAGGGCTGGAGGCTGGACCCTGGGGTGTGGTGGGAGTTCTGGTGCAGAGGCACGATGTTTACATTCCTGCAGAAGCTATTCCCTTCCACCCTTAATGGGGCTGTGGCCTACCTGCTTCTCCTGTAAAGTTATTAATAACTGAGTGTGTGTGGCGGGGGGAATGGAAGCTTGGTTTTTGTCTCAAGCTCCCCTCCTTCTGGGAATCTAGAATTTCACAAGTGAGTTTTTTTTTTCTTTTTCTTAGCATCTGGCCCTTGTACAGGGATCAATCCCTGGCCCTTGGTATTACCAGCACCATGCTCTAACCAGCTGAGCTAACTGAACTGGCCACAAGTGACTCTTGAGCAATCGACCATGGTCTCTTGGCACTGAGCCCTCTCAGCCCAGGGAAAATTAGGTTCTTTCTTTTCTTTTCTTCTAGGAGCTTGGAGGCTAATGGAGTCAAAGCCCCTGGGGCAGTGAACAGGAAAGGCAGAGCCTTTAATGGGTTTGGGGGGCTGGGCAGGGAAAATTCCAAAGAGCAAGGGAGCTCGAGCCTCAGGAGGGCAGAGGCCAGTCCAAGCAGGGTAATGGCCTTTCCTAGGGCCAAGCATGGATGGTGGAGAAGTTAAGCGAGAATATATCCCAGTCCCTTGGCCATAGTCTTTCCATCTTTGCTCAAGCTGGTACTTATGAGTACACAGGGGACCCTCTTTTCAGGATTCTAAAACACTGGTTTAGCCTGTTTGCTCACTGGGGAGAGCAAGGTGTTGATAACACCAAAGTCAAGGTTTGGATTCCCTACGGCCAGCTGCAAAATAAATAAATAAAATACTGTGGGGCCTATGACAAAACACAGTCACACCCTCACGGCTGAGCCCCCAACAAGATAAAACCACTCTCAATTTACCAAACCAGTCCTGTCCATATTTGTGTACATCTTTTTAAAAATTAACTATTTAAATCTTTAAATTAAAAAATAAATTAAGTTTATTGAGGTGTAACTTACATACAATAAAATTTACCCTTTTAAGGTATATAGTTCAATAAGTTTTGGCAAATTTATAGTTATGTGGGCTGGCTGGTTAGCTCAGTTGGTCAGAATGCAGCCTTATAATACCAAGATAACTAATTCGGATTCCCTTACCGGGGATAACTGAAACAAATCAGAAAATAAATAAAATTTAAAGAAAGTGAGCCGAGATGCCGGGTACCATCCAAGCTTTATTAAAGGAGAAGACTCCCGGGCCGGCCCGTGGCTCACTCGGGAGAGTGTGGTGCTGAGAACACCAAGGCCCCGGGTTCGGATCCCATATAGGGATGGCCGGTTCGCTCACTGGCTGAGCGTGGTGCTGACAACACCAAGTCAAGGGTTAAGATCCCCTTACCGGTCATCTTTAAAAAAAAAAAAAAAAAAAGGAGAAGACTCTGCCGGGCTGCGCTCAAAATGGGGCTCAAAGCTGTCCTGAAAATGGGGGACAGCACCAGGTGTGGGGGGGTAGAGTTTATATACTGCGCCAAGGGCTGGCTGATACAAGCAAGGAGGGTCATTATGCTAATATGGATTGGGGTGGAGAACTGCATCCTTGCAGAAGCAAAAGCGGTTTCTGTTTAAGTCAGGAGGCTTCTCTTAAAGGGAAGTGGGGAGGGGCTTGGTGCTGGAGTGGAAGATGAGGCCGGCAGCTATTTTGTGCTCATTGTGTGCACAATGGCGCCGGTCATGTCCAAAATCCATCAAAAATAAAAATACAGATAGAAAAAATACATGAATAGGGCCGCCCCGTGGCTCACTCGGGAGAGTGTGGTGCTGATAACACCAAGGTCCCGGGTTCGGATCCCATATAGGGGTGGCCGGTTCGCTCACTGGCTGAGCGTGGTGCTGACAACACCAAGTCAAGGGTTAAGATCCCCTTACCGGTCATCTTTAAAAAAAAAAAAAAAAAAAAAAGTCATGTAAATAGAATCATACTCTCTTTAAAAAAATTTTTTTTTCTATTTCTGTCAGTTCAATTTTTTTATTGGAAAAATTTTTATGAAGCATATAGTCTTTTACATCTGGCTTAGATTTCTCAACTCTGTGTGTGTGTGTGTGTGTGTGTGTGTGGAAGAAATATGTCAATGAGGTAAAAAATGTAAGCAGTTCCAAAGGGTAAAGATAATTATTCATCTGCTCCCCTCTGACTCCTCCAGAAGTAACCACCGTCTTGTTTTTGTGTCCTTTCAGAAATGCAGAAGTATATAAATATAATTAATAAATATATATATTACACACATATGCATATTCCAGTTACATTGTCCTTCACTTTCCTTTTTTTTTTTTTTTGTCCTTTTTTGAGACCGGCCGCACGGCGCTCAGCCAGTGAGCGCTGTGAGCGCACCGATCGTCTCTATATAGGACCCGAACACGCGGCATAGGACCCGAACACGCGGCGGGAGCCCCAGCGCCACACTCTCCCGAGTGTGCCACGGGCTCGGCCCCACTTTGCTTTTTTGATTAAATATTTTCTGTAGATTGATTCACATGAGCTCATACAGACCTTACACATTCTAATTAATGGCTCAGTGGTATAGATGTGCTACAACTGATTTAGCCACTCCTTTGTTAATGGATTTGGGTTTATTTACAGTGTTTTCTTAATGCAAACAATCATTTCAATCAATAATTGAAATTTATAATGCTCTTAGTAAACAAAACAGTGCAATAGTCCTCCCTTATCCTTGGTTTTGCTTTTCATGGTTTCAGTTACCTGCCGCCATCGTGGTCTAAAATATTAAATGGAAAATTCCAGAAATAAACAAGTCCTAAGATTTATTTATTTATTTATTTAGTTTGTCTTTTTTCGTGACCGGCAACGGATCGCAACCCTCAGTGTTGCGCCCACACCTTGCTCAGCCAGTGAGCTGCGGTCTGTATGTGGGATCCGAACCCTCCGCGGGAGCGCCTCCAGGCTCCCAAGTGGCGCACTGTAGCAGTGCGCCACCAGGCCGGCCCAAGATTTATTTATTTTGGCGACTGCTCAGGATGGGGATGGGGGAGTACCGAAACCCATAACCTTGGTATTATAAGGCTGCGCTCTGACCAACTGAGCTAACCGGCGGCTCCAATAGGAAGCTGGACCCTTGACCTTAGTGTTACAAAGCGGCGGACCTCTAACCAAATGAGCTACCCGGCCAGCCAATTCATAAGATTTAAATGCGCTTCCGGCTGGTGGGCTAGGTCAGCAGGTTAGAGCGCAAGCCCCCTTGTCACTTCAAGGTAAAGGGTTCGGATTCCCGATCCCCCTTCTGGTCAGCCGCCAAATAAATAAACAGCCCTCTGTTCTGAGTAGCTTGATGAAATCTCTCGGGGACCGGGAAGCATCCCCTTGTCCAGTGTATCCAGGCTGTATACGCTACCCCCAGCCTTAGCAACCGTCTAGGTTTTCAGATGAAAAAGCACGTTATACATAGGGACCGGTAGGTACTATCCTGGGCTCAGGCGTCCACTGGGGGTCTTGGAACGGAACCCCGCGGATAAGGGGGCTACTATTGACAGGTTGCCTGTAACTTTCATATAGTTGTAATTGTTTTTGTTTGTTTTTTGTTTTTCACTTAAGATTTGGTTTTTCCTTGTTGCTTTCCCCTCTCCCAACCCTCCTCCAGCCCCAACACACACCTTTCATCCTGGTGAGTTTTTCTTTTTTTAAAAGATGACCGGTAAGGGGATCTTAACCCTTGACTTGGTGTTGTCAGCACCACGCTCTCCCAAGTGAGCCAGGGCCGGCCCTTATCCTGATAAATTTCTACTAGTTCTTCACCACCCCTCCCTCCATCACAACCCACGCTGGGCAGCCTTCCCTGATTTCACCTTTGCTCCTGCTCGTCCCTCTAAGCACCTCCACAGCATTCCACAAGATGGGTTGTGACGCTGTGACCCTAACTCTGTCAACTCGGTGAACCTGCAAAGTGCAGGTGGGGCCCGAGTCTTGTTGACAGTTTCCCCTGTAGATCTCATCACAGGACAATCTATGTTTGCCAGTTTTGAGATATGTTTTGTTTTGGCTTTGGCAAGCAATGCTATTTCTGCTTCTTGCCTTTTTCTCTTTTTGGATTATGCACCAGGTTGTGTTTTTTCGAAGCAGGTTTACTGGGGTGACTTTTTTTTTCTTCCCAATTTGCCTTACAAAATTGTGCACACTGGGGATTTTCTGAAATCATAAGGCTTCTAAGAATTGGAATGGTAATCAGAAAACTTCGACCTTTCATCCCGGTTTTGTCCTAAGACAGGTTTTCTGACCCCGAGTAAATTCCTCAGCTTCTGTGCCTCAGTTTCCCCAAAGGCATAGGAGCGAGTTTACAGATTCTCCTCCGGAGTAGCGGCAAAGCTCCGCCTTCTCACGTCTCTCAGCCCTTCCTGCTCGCTATTCCGATTGACGGTCGATCTGACCAATCAGCGCACGATAGGTGAGCGTGGGGGCTGCCCTTCTGGACACACATGCGCACTGTCCGCGCTCGGGAAATGTGGGGATACAGTGCTTTGGGTCGGGTCTCGGGTTGCTGGCGGCGGGGCCTAGGGGTCAGCGCCGCGCCCAAAGACTCACGCTTTGGCACCGAGGCCCGGTGATTCAGTCCTCCCCTCTTCGTGTGGGAGGGAGGCTAGGGCAGGGGACGGGGGATGCGCGGGAACTGGATTAGGTAGTTATAGGTTTTAATCCCGGCTCTGCTGTGTGCCCCTAAACTAGTCTCTCGGCCTCTGAGCCCCCGTTCCTCCGCTGTAAAGTGGGATCAATCGAATCTGAATTGTTGGGACGCTCAGCCCAGGCGTTCCGAGGCACTTGTAGGAGGCGGCAGGATTTGGGAAGAGGCGTGTGGAGGATAGGAATGGGCAGGCGGCAATTCAGGAAACGAATGAATCCCCTGTTGCTTCCCCCACTTTTTCCAGGCATCAGCTGCAACCTAGAAGCTCCAGCAAACGGTTGGTGCCCCTCGGGGACCAGCCTTTCCCGGGGCTGCTGCGGCCAAAGAACCTCAGTCGGGAGGAGTTGGTTGATGTGCTGAGGGCGGCCGTGGTGGACGAGAAAGGTGAGGGGTGGGAGGGACTGCTGCGCAGAGACCCGGGAGCGGATTCCAAACCTTCAGGGGTGTTGGCTGGGTTCTTCACTAAAGCCCTCGGGGTTAAATCCTGGATCTGCTTCCCGCTAAGCAGCATGAGCTGGGAGGAGCCACACAGTCTCTCTGAGCTTCAGCATCGTGGTGATGGGGTTAGGAGGAGGAGGAGTGGTTGCAAATAACTAGAGGGCCTTGCACATGGTACGCACTCAGTAATGGAAATTGCCATAATAAAAAATTGTTTATTGGTGGACAAAACTCAGGCTTTGGAGTCAGACATATCTGGGCTCTGTAATCAGCTTGCTGTGTGGCTTTAGGAAAATCACTTAATTTTTGAGCCTCAGTCTCCATTCAGTGATTTATTCATTTTCTCTACTATGTATTGAACTTACGCTATGTTCCAGGCACTGTTCTAAGCAGGCTATACAATGCTGAAAAGATAGATATGGTTCCTGTACTCAGGAAGCCAACATTCTAGTAGGAGAAATGGATTAATCAGAACACGTTACTAGTGATCAGAGCTATGAATAAACTAAAACGGGGTATTATGATAGGAGGGGGACAGACATTAGATTGGGGACTCAGACCTCTCTGTGGTGTGACATTTGAGCCAGGATGATATGAAGGAGCCAGTGCCATGAAAATCTGGGACAGAGGAAACAGCACATGCAAAGCGGTGCCACTGAGGCGGCAGTGAGCTTGGCATGTGTGAGGAACAGTTCAATGGGGGTGGGGTTGATAATTTATATCTGAGCATTGTCATGGGGCCACATGCTAAGATGAATGAGAAAGTGCTTTGTAAACTCTTTAAGTGCTGCATAAAGATTTACCATTAGTTTTGCTGTTGCTGATGTTCATGTCATATATGTTTCAGGACCTCTAGTGACGTTGAACAAGCCACAGGGTCTGCCAGTGACAGGTATGGGCAGGGGGCTTTGGAAGGGAATGCAGTGAACAGGGGTTTGATGTCTCTATGGGAAGTAATAGCAAAGAGAAGGGGATGGTGGGATGAAGCTTTGGCCTCTGCGAGCAACTTGTACTTTTTCTTATTTTTCAGGAAAACCAGGAGAGCTGACATTGCTCTCTGTGCTGCCAGAGCTGAGCCAGTCCCTGGGGGTCGGGGAGCGGGAGCTCCAGGTTGTCCAAGCACCTGGGAAGTAAGTGGTGGGGGTGATAGGAAGGTAGGAGGACAGGCATCCTTCTGAGGTGGGGAAACAGCTGCTTGGGAGTAAGCTGAGATATTTTCTACAGGAAGATTTGAGATCATAGAGGTAGGATACAAGGACTGTGAAAAGGAAGAGGAAGTGATGGATATGGGTTCCAAATCCTCATGTACAAACTGTGTGATTTAGGCAAAGCATGAAACCTCACTGAGCCTCATTTCCCTTAATCATAAAATAGAGATAATAATACCTGTGCTCAGGGTGCAGTCACTTCTCCAAGCCCATACTCGCAGGCATTGCTAGTCTGTCCATGATATTCTTTCCTCTAACTGCCATGAATTAGAGATGGTACTTGAGATGAAATATTTCTGTAACTCCACAAATTCATGAGCTTGTCTGTGGGGAATTCAGGTATTTAAGAGCTAACATATATAAAATAACTAGTAGAGTGCCTGGTACATGGTAGCTCGCAATTGGTGGTAGTTGTTCTGACATTTGGCTCTGAGCCTCCTGGGGGCCAGGGCAAAATGAGAAGCACATTAAGCTCCATAGTCTTGTCATCGAACAAGGGGAAGCCTTACTTGTTTCTCAGGAGGAGGTCTGCGTGATAGTCCTGGTGCTACTGTTTGGCCTTAAGCAGGTCAGTGTTCCTTCCTTGGGGTCTTTTATTGTGGATGAGCCCAAGGGACTTTAACTGGTGTGACTTGTCCCCTTCCTCCAGTGGGAAGGAGACCTCTGGGCTTGTACTCCTCTGCAGTTGTCCCCAGACAGCAAGCCACCTGCAGAAGTTCTACATCCACTCTCGGAGAGCCCAGAGACCCACAGCCACCTACTGGTGAGAGGTGCTGGGAAACTCCTAGGGGGTGGGGAGATCTCAGCAAGCCACTCTGAGACCCCCCCTCCTGCCCCTTTCTCAGTGCTGTCACTGATGGGATCCCAGCTACTTCTGAGGGGAAGATCCAGGCACCTCTGAAGCTGGAACACATTGATGGGGTCAATCTTGTGAGTCAGGGTCTGGGCAGGGAAGAGGTAGGGTCCTTCCAGATATATTACTCCTACAGAGGCATCAGGGTTATGGACTTGGGATGTCTGGTCTCTTGTCCCTTAGAATAGGCAAGTGACCACTGCCTATACCATGGCCCTGTCCTGAGCCTGTTGGGAGCAGAGAGGGTCTGGTTTAGGTTCCAGGTGTGTAAAGCTTGTTCATTCTTGGCTGGCACCACAAGGTAGTTCCAGTGAAGTCCCCATCCCGAAAGGACATCTTGGAAGGTGTCAAGAGGACCTCCAGCCACTTCCGAGTGGTGGCCACAGGCTCTGGCTGTGCCCTAGTCCAGCTGCAGCCACTGACAGGTAGGTCTGGACTCGGCTTGGGAAGGGAAATGGGTGGAAGGGTGGTGGCACTCAGCAGCAGCCTAGGGAACATTTGATGGGCCCTAAGGGTGTATGCAACCAGGTTCAATTGGAAGCAGCTCCAGGCTCACCCCCCACCAGTTTAGCACCATAGCAGGAAGGAGCAGTACTTGTACCCAGTAGCTTCAACAATTAATTCAGGGTTGCACCTAATAATGAGCAAATTCCACAGGCCAGGTGTCATTGTCCTTACCTGGTCATGTGCCCCTCTCTGGAGGCAGGGGCCCTAGCATTGACCTCACTGACACCACATGATCTGAGAATGGGGTGGTGTTTCCCTAAAGGAAAAGGGAGGTACAATACTGGGTGGGACAGAAAGAGCAGCCACCCACCATTTATCCTGTCCTTCCTGTTTTCCAGTGTTCCCTAGTCAACTACAGGTGCACATGGTACTACAGCTCTGCCCTGTGCTCGGGGACCACACGTACTCTGCTCGTGTGGGCACTGTCCTGGGCCAGCGCTTTTTGCTGCCAGCTGAGAGCACCAAGCCCTCAAAACAGGTACCTAAGCCCACCTGCCTGCTACCTTCTGGGGATGAGTGGTGAGGGTGGGCAGCATCTCTAGGCATTAGCTATGCAGCTTGGGACTGGGAGGCAGCGCTCTTGGCTTCCTAGTCTATCTGTACCCCTGTCTTGCTGTGTGGCCTCAGGCAAGTGACATACCCTCTCCTGGGCCTCATTCTGCATATCTATTCAATAAGGGATTTTAAGTGGCTGATTTCTTTTTTTTTTTTTTTAAAAGATGACCGGTAAGGGGATCTTAACCCTTGACTTGGTGTTGTCAGCACCACGCTCAGCCAGTGAGCTAACCGGCCATCCCTGTATGGGATCCGAACCCGGGGCCTTGGTGTTATCAGCACCGCACTCTCCCGAGTGAGCCACCGGGCCGGCCCTAAGTGGCTGATTTCTAAAAGCCCTTCCAAGTCTGCCATTCTTTGATTCTGTTTGGTACAAGGGGTAAAAAACATTGCGTGTGTTGTTTAAGGTACCTCTATCTGTGCTAACAGAGTAACCCTAAAGTACCAGAGTCTTAATACAATAATTTTCCTCTCATGTTAAGTCCAATTAATGGGAGTGAGTTAGGAGTGGGCTTTGCTCCAAGCAGTCACTCAGGGTTCCAGGCTGTTGATATTCAGCCAGATGAGAGGAGGCAGTGTAGCTTCAGGTGGACAAGGCTTCTGTGGGCCAGGTCTGGAAGTGGCATACATACTTTCACTCACATTCCATTGGCTAGAGCTCTGAGCACATGGCCTCACCAAACTGCAAGGGGGGCTGGGAACTATAGTTGTGCTGGGTGCCAGGAGGAAACTGATTTGGTGAACTCCGAGCCAGGCTCTGCTCCATTGTGAGTGTGTGTGTGTAGAGAGGAAAGGAGTAACAGCTGCAGACCGGAGTCCCTCACTCCCATTTGGTTAAGAGCTGGGTGCTCAGCTGGTTGGAACTTCTGCTGACGTGCCTCTCCCATCCCAGGTCCTGGAGGAGGCCCTCCTCAGACGCCTCCGCGTGAGCCCCTCCCAGGCTGCCCAGCTGCCCTTGCATCTCCACCTGCACTGTCTCCTTCTCCCAGGCACCAGGTCCAGGGACACCCCGATGAAGCTTCTGGCGCCCCTGCCACCTTATTTTTCCAGGACCCTACAGTGCCTGGGGCTCCTCCAACAACAGTCCTCCCTCTGTTCCTAACCATCCCCCCCCAGGGGGGCCATGTTTAAGGACCTTTAGTCACATAAACCTGAGATGACATCCTGGTGCGGCTGCTTGCTTGCTGTGTGGCATCAGGCAAGTGACTTCACCCTCTGGACTTGAGATAATAAAAGTTCCTACCTCATGGTATGGTTTTGAGGATTTGCTGAGGAAGTAAATGTTTATCACAGACCTTCCTTGCTTTCTGCTGAGATGAATATATGGTCTTTTTATTTAGCAGTTTCTGTCTCAATCCTGGATGGGAAGAGATGTCAGATTTTTCTTTTTTTAATTGTGGTAAAATACAAATAACATAAAATTGACCATAACCGTTTTTGAAGTGTACAGTCAGTTGCATTAAGTAAATTCAGTGTTGTGCAGCCAGCACCACCATCCATCTCCAGAATTCTTTTCATCTTGTAAAACTGAAACTTTATACTCATTGAACATTAACCCCCCATTTCCCCCTCCCCCAGGTGGTCAGAATTCTTTCTGTGACTATCTTTTGCTTTAAAAAAATTGATAAATACACCGTACTGGCCAGCCACCAAAAAAAAAAAAAAAAAAAAAGATGTATCAAACATACAAGGAGAGCCTAAAACAGCTCTGTGATTTAAAGAATTATAAAGTGACACCTATATAACCCCGCTTGGGGCATGAAATAGAAGCACCTTCTCCTTCCTTGTAGAGCAGCAGTTTTCAACCCTGGCCCCACATGAGAATCCCCCTCCCCCACCCCTGCAGGAAGCGTAAATCCTCATGCTTCCCCATGGTTCTGCAGCCCAGAGATTCCAGTTTTATTGGCCTGGGGTGGGGACCCTGGCATCAGTCTTTTTTTAAAGTTCCGGAAGGGGTTCTACTGTTCAGTCTGGGTTAGAATCAACTGCCCTGACTTGGGAGAATTCTTCGCTTTTCTTTTTAAGTTTTACCACATACATATGCATCTCTGAACAATGTTTCATTTTGCCTGTTGAATTTTCTGTAAGTGGAATCATGCTGTATATATTCTTTTGTGATTTGCTCTTGCTCCAAAGTGTGAAATGCATCTGTGTTGTATGGCACCTAGTCTGAATTCCAGAGTTTGAATAGAGCAGTTAGGTCACTTAGTTGTCACTATACTGCTGTGAGTCTGCTTGTACACATTTCCTGGTTTAGTTATGCAAGAATTTCTGGATCAGAGCATGTGTATCTTCAGCATGACTTGTGTACTAGTTACCTATGGCTGCAGTAACAAATTACCACAACCTGAGTGGCATAGAACAGCAGAAATCTCAGTTCTGGAAGCCAGAGGTCCAAAATCAAAGTGTTAGCGCCACCTCATCTGAAGACTCTAAAGGAGATTACTTCCTAGATTCACTGATGGTGCCAGGGGTCTCTTGGCTTGTGGCTGCATCACACCAATCTCTGACCCCATCTTCACATGGACTTATGAGCGCCACCTCATCTGAAGACTCTAAAGGAGATTACTTCCTAGATTCACTGATGGTGCCAGGTGTCTCTTGGCTTGTGGCTGCATCACACCAATCTCTGACCCCATCTTCACATGGACTTATCCTCATGTTTGTTTCTTCTTTTCTGACTCTTACAAGGACACTTGCCATTGGGTTTAGGGCCCACCCAGATAATCCAGTATGATTTTATCTGAAGATCTTAAATTTAATTAAATCAACAGACTCTTTTCACACATAAGGTCACATTCACAGGTTCCAGGAAGACATATCTTTTGGAGGCCACCGCTCAACCCACTACAACTAGGAAATACCAAACTTTATCACATGGGTGTAGCTTGTTGGATATTTCATTTTTAGGTGACCTTAGCCCCTTACTGAAGAAGAGACCAAGACCTACTCCATCTGGAGAAGGGCTTGAGTTTAGGGAAGGTCCACCCTTTCTCCTGTGTCTGTGACCATTAGATGTCATTCTGCTGCCAGCCAGCTTATTCTCTGGGGCTGGGGGGACTCCCAGCAGTCAGCAGCTCTGGCAACGTGTCCCTGCCTTCTCATTGCCACATGATCTTGGGCAAGCCACATCTCCTCTTTCAGACTCAGTTTCCTCATCAGTAAAATGAAAGCTTATCCCTCCCACCCCCACCCAAGGATTGGAGATGCCATAGGAGTCCCTGAACAGGAAGCCCATGTTTGTCACCAGGTGGGAGTTCTGGGCCTTGCTGCATACAGCAGCTGTTGATGGCCTCCAGCTCTTGCTGTGGACCTTGGGGTAGAGGGTCTTGCCCCACCTGCTCTTCACCCTCCAACAGAAATGGAGCCCAGAATACTTCACTTGCTGCTTTTTATTTGGCGCTGGATCCAGGACAGGGGTAGTGGGGACTGATGCACGGGCTTCCCTAGCCTCCTGTTGCCCATGCCCCCTGGCCTCTGGAATATATCAATAAGGGGCAGGGGTTCCAGGAGGCTCAGTCTCTTCTCAGGGCATGCTTTGGGTTTGTCGCAGAGTCTGGCCTTGAACTTGCGTTTGGTCTTGACCTTCCTATGGGTGCTAGGAAGAGTTCTGACTTCAAAGGGCAGAGGTGACAAGGCACTTCCAGGATGGGGGCCTTGAAGGTGCTGGGGAGCAACAGCCTTGGTGTGAAAGAAGGGGAAAAGGAGAGCGATGATCAAGGATCTGTCTAGGAAGAGGGTTCTGAGGGAGACAAGCTCTTCCTGGGGCATAGCCAGCCTGGGAGCTGCCCTCTGCCTGTGCCGTCCAGCCCTGACCCCGGTGCTCAGCACTGCCCACCAGGGTGTGAGTCACAATTTGCAGCTCACCTTTTATGGCTTCAGGATGCTGGGTGCCAGCTTGAGATCAAGGTTAGGTGGGAGAGAAATCAAAACCTTGGCTGTAGGTAGAGTGATCAAGGCCTTGCCTGTGGTCGACAGGGCCTTAGAGCCCACCAGCTTGCTGTGCTGCAGTCTGAGGCCCCACCCCTGGGGTCGGAGCACATGGGGAGAAGGCAGCTGGGCCTTGGTGTTGAGGTGGGGGAAGTGGTTAGGGGCTGTGGGAGCAAGGGAAGCTGTGAGGCCCAGGGAGGGCCAGAGGCCCCACAAGGTGTGTGCAGAGGGTCGGGGGGTTGGGGGCGCGGGGTGAGGGCAGATGGAGCCCTCCAGGTTCCTCCTTCAGAGGCAGTGGGAGGAACACAGGAGTCCAACAGACCTGGGTCTGCATCCCAGCTCTGCCCCTTCTGAGCTGTGCGACTTCGGGCAACTTCCTTAAACTTCCTGATACCTTGACTGGAAAACGGGAATGACAGTACCTACCTCGCTAGGTTGCTGTGAGGACTGAAAGAGCTGGTTAGGTGGCAGCACAGTGTAAACTAAGTGCTGTATAAAATATTAGTTCCTTTCCCCCAGAGGCAACTCTGCATGGAGGCAAAGGCAGAATGCTGCAGCAGCAAAACTTGGGCTCTGGAGAGAGATCAACCTGGGATTGAGTCCTGGCATCTTTGAAGTAAATCTAACTGCCTCACAGGGTCACTACTTTGGAGGGGACAACATTCATTTGGCTGTGTATTTAAAAATAATACTTTGTGAATAGTAGCTTTTACTTGCTACTGGTGGCTCTTTGATTGGGGAGCAAATCCGAGTAGCTGGGAGAGGCTTGGAGAGTAGGCAGAAATTGCCTTGGGACACAGGGGTGCTTTGGGGAAATGGTCTTACCCAAGGCCTGGGGGTTCTTTGGGCTCAATGGCAATCTGTTCAAGCAGGAGGGTTGTCTATCCCCACTAGCAAAGGTCATGGTGAAAATGCAGCCCATGCTGGTGCTGGGGGGGTAACACTTCCGAAGACTGGGTTGGACTGCGGATGTGGCACATTCCGCCTTGCCTTTCTTCTCTTTTCTGGAGGCCAAGGTGTTGGCACTGGAGTCTGGCTTCTCAGTGTGCCCCAAGCTCTTGGTCCCAGCAACTTTCCTAGAAGCTGACCTGTGGGTAGGGGTCCCCGAGTCTTTGCCTTCCCCAGAGCCTCGCTGGGTCAGCAGATGAGGAAGTGCTGGGCGGACCCCCATCCGCCGATGACACATGGCCATGGGCTTCTTGATGGTGGAGCCCTCTACCAGGAGCCGGATGCCCACATATTGGGGCACCTCCACGGCAGGCTGTGGGCAAAAAGGGGAGACAAGGCCCACTCAGACAGTAGTGCTAGAATCTTTGGCCCAGCAAGATCCAGAGCAGAGATAAAATTCACTTCTGAGGCACCAGGTCAAGAGATGTTTCTGGGCTGAGAAATGGGAAGCCCACCTCTGTCTTCGAAAGGGTCTGGCCCCAGAGGCCTGAATCAGTACCTAGAGAGCCACAGAGCCCTAGGGGTTAGTAACCCAGAGGAGTGGGGGAGTCCTAGCCATGCCCCCACCAGCACCCCTCCACCCCACTGCCCTCCTAAGCTGTCCCAAGCCCCTGCTGGAATGTGTGGGTCTCCACTTCCACAGGCCACTGCTGATGGACAGCTTTCTGAGCTGAGCCAATCAGGCTCTCTGCAGAGAGAATCTGAGTTATGACACCCAGACAGATAAGAGGCTTGGAGCCTGCCTAGATCCTCACGTGAACACAGGTTATGGAGGAGCAGAAACTAAAAGCCTTAAAGAAGGCAGTCTGTGGAGAGAATGAAGTAGACGGAGGCAGAGGGAAGTGACCAAGAAAGGAGCTCCCTTACAATTTTCAGTACCTCTTAAACCAAGATGTACTTCCTGAGCTGGGCTCTTGGAGAGCCCCCACGCCTCCCCGCTAACAATCCTCCTTTTAGCCTGGAGCTAGTTTGAGGCTCTTCTGTGTCATCAAAGGATACTGGTTAGAATCTATCTAAACATCAGAATTACTTGGCACTTGTTAAAAATACAGCTATTAGAGCTCCAGAATAGCTGGACATGATGAAGGAAAGCTCATCTTTACAGAAGACTCTCAGCTTATATAGAATGAACAATAGAAGTAAAAATACACCATTCTGCAACTCTAACAGGCAAAAATCAAAACTAGATATCAAAACAATTAGGTAAAAAGGATGACAGGAAAATATATAATTTGCACACAGCCTAAGTATCACCTTACAAAGTAGTTAATAACTGCAAAGGGGAGGATGTAACTTATAATGGATAGATCTGCTACCACCCACCTTAACCCATGGTCAAAATTAGCTTCACTAATGGTGAGACACTGACAGTATGTGCCTTGTGATGCCACATGAGGTACCCAGCATCACCTCCGAAGTGTTCTTGCCAAAATGTTTAACCTGAACCTCATCAAGCTGTTTGACCTCACTTCTGATTCACATGACATTCAGACAACAAAGACTAAGTTAAACAACACCACAGGAAACAATCAGATAAATCCAGAATGTGGGCCAGTTCTACAAAACCACCTGCCTGGTCCCTTCAAAAGATCAAAACCATGGGGGAGAAAAAGCACTCGGGCTGTCCTAGATTGAAAGAGATTAAAGAGACAAAAAACAGCGAGGTGTGAACCTTGATTACATGTTGGCCTAAAAAACAAAAACAAATCAGTGATACATGACATTTGGGAGACAACAGGACTTTTGAAAAATGCAGATGCACAGTCCCCAAGCCATACATTTTGGATCATTCTCTAGGGTTAGGGCCTCCTGACCACACCTTTAGAAGACTTTCCAGGTGATTCTGGACTATGAACCAGCATCTAGGAACCACTGCACTACAATGGTACCTTTTCCCTTGGCCTTATCATATTTTCCTGCCCTTGTATTTCGTTGTTTACATTTTTGAAACCAAAATGCCAATATATTAATTTAAGGTATGACTAGTTACTGTAACAAAGACAAGGACACTGAGGTTATGTAATCAGCATGTTCTTTCCCTGTAGCCAAACCTTGACAGAAGCTGAACCCTAATCAGAAAGCACTTAATTAAACTGCCAACAGTTATTTCCAGAGCTCAGAAACCCTTGAAAGTGGTTTTCTGACATTGTTAAAAATCCTATTCTAGGGCCAGACCGTGGCTCACTTGGGGAGAGTGCGGTGCTGATAACACCAAGGCCCCGGGTTCGGATCCTATATAGGGATGTCCGGTTCGCTCACTGGCTGAGCGTGGTGCTGACAACACCAAGCCAAGGGTTGAGATCCCCTTACCGGTCATCCTTAAAAAAAAATAAATAAATAAAAATCCTATTCTATTCTATACATAGACTCAGTGTCTTTTTGGAAGAAGATGAGTAAAATAATAATAATGATAGCAGCTGCCATTAATTGACTCTTACTATAAGTTCATGTATTATATGGGTGATGCCATTTATCATGAATCAACCTTATTAGGTAATAACAACAATAGCCAAAACTTGTATAGGATTTACTATGTGCCAGGCACTATCCTAAAACACTTTGCTTATATCAACTTATTTAATTCTCATAACTGTATGAATTAGGTACTATTTTTATTCTTGCTTTACAGATGAGAAGCTGAGACCGCCTAGAGGTTAGGAACTTGCTGAAAGTTGTACAGCTCATAGTTAAGGGATTTAAACCCAAGAAGTTCCAGTCTATGCTCTTAACACTATGCTATATGCCTCTCTAGAAATACCCATATTAGCTGATTTCATTCTCCCAAACCCCATGAGAATAATATTATCTCCATTTCACAGATGAGGTAACTGAGGCTCAAGGAGGTGAAGTGGCTGTACTAAGTCACCTTGTCAGAACTGGGACTTGAACCCTGGGTCTTGAACTAGGTCTAACTATAGAGCCCTGTGCTTCATTCACTATGGGGCTTCCTGGAAGAAGGTGCAGACTCCCTGAGGTCCTGCCTGGTCTCCACCACTTTACCTGCTTATAGATGAGCTCGAAGCCTCCAGTGTCACAGTTGTGGTCCAGCCGCCAGTCAATGACCACACGCAGGGTGTCAGCTTGCACACCAGCACAGAGCCGGGCGGTGACAGCCGTGGAAGGTGCCATGGTGGGGCTGGCATTGATCTCAATCAACCAGGGCTGGAAGTCCTCACCGAACACAAAGTCAGCACCGTAGAGCTCGAAGCTGGCCTTCCGACACTGCACGGTGTCCTGGGAGGTCTGAAGCGTGTGGATCACGGCAGCCTTCATGCCAGGTACAATGATGGTGGACCAAGCATTCGGGGCTCCCATCTCCTGCAGGTAGGCCTGGAACTTTTGGCTGGACCACATGTTGTCTGGAGGCAGCAGCGGATGCCGATGGCACGAATTCTCCAGGTGCTTCTGGATGGAGTTGTTACACAGGTGCACTGATCTGGGGCAGAGAACAGAAAGCTGAGGTCTGGCCCCTTGTGCCCCTCCCACCCAAACTTAGCGGATGCCGATGGCACGAATTCTCCAGGTGCTTCTGGATGGAGTTGTTACACAGGTGCACCGATCTGGGGCAGAGAACAGAAAGCTGAGGTCTGGCCCCTTGTGCCCCTCCCACCCAAACTCGGGGAGTGCAGGCGAATCCTGGGACCAGCCCCGGGCCTCCCTCGACTGTTCAACTTGAGATGGGGAGGACAAAAAGGATAAAGGCCTGGGACCCACTACATTCTCCTAGGCCCAGAACCAGTCTTATCTCTTAGAACTACTATGAGAGTGCCAACTATGGGGGCCACAGTGTTAAGTCCTTTGTGCACAGTCTCAGTTTACCCTCCCAGTGCTTGGAAGATAAAGAAGGTGGAGTAAGAGATGTTGTAGACAATATTTACAAGTAAAAATAAATAAAGTGGGTAAGAGCAGGGCCCTGTAGTTGCCAAGGTGTGTTCAAATCCCCATCTTCACCACTGACTGGTTATGAGATCTTAGGCAGGTCATTTAACCTGCGTGCTCCTCACTTCTGTACAATGAGGGTAATAATAGTACCCACTCATTGGGTTTTTATGAAGAATGACTGAGATAATCTACACAGAGTGCTTGCATCTTCACATATGAAGCACACAATAATTGATAGCTGTAATTAAGAGTTTCACATTACTGCATCCATTCTTCAGATGTGGAAATTAGGTGTAAATAGGTTTTCACTGGACCAAAACCACACAGCTTGGAAGCTGCAGAGATGGAATTTGAAGCCAGGCCTCAACAAGGCTTTCTTTGGCCTCATGAGTTAATACTGCATCTTGCCTTTCTCCTCTTGAATTTCTCCTGACCTCCCTTTACCCTGCTCTACGTTTTCTTTTTTATTTTTCATATCACATATCACCTTTTGATGTATTAGATAATTTTACTTATGTTCATTGCTTGTCTGTTTCTCCCTGCTAGAATGTGAGCTCTCTTGCTGGGATCTTGTTTTGTTCACCACTGTATCCCAAGTGTTTAGAACAGAGAACGGCACAGGGTACACACTCAGTATCGGCTATAAGGGAGGATGGTTGGATAGATGGAGGGCCTGCCTGCCTGCAGAGTCTGTTTGGAGCTCAGTGCTGCTGCATGATTCCCCTGCACTGAAATCGCCTGTTTGCTCAGCTCCTCAACCAGACTGAGAGCTCAAGGGAGGTCAGCGATGGGGCTCACTTGTCCAGGTTCTTCAGGGAGAATGGCTGTGTGGAGAAGCGGATATAGCTGTCATGGTAGAACCACACAGTAAGAGGGTTCCAGTCGGTCACCAGGAACCACTGTCTCAAGTCAAACTTGGTGCCAAAGATGAGCAGGGGCCGCTCAACATACTTCTGCACCACCCACTTGCCATCCTTCATCATCATGGGGTTGCAGTCCACAAGCTTCAGCACCTCTTCCAGGTGGTCCATGCACGTGATGCCTAAGGGGGAAGGAAGGCAGTAAGGCGCAGTAAGGCTGGGAGCAGGGCCAGCGGACCCAGGGCAGCTCAACAGAAGCTCTCATCCCCATGGAAATGATAGTTCCAAGTGGGGAAGGCTGCCTCCCTCAATCAGAACCCTGCTCCCTTTGGAAAAGCTGAGAACTTGCTAAGGACTTTTAATTTTTCTAATTAATTGTGTTTGGTTGAAAAGGAATATATACATGGATAAAAATGTCAATAGTACTGGGCTTTCTTTTTTTTTTTTAAAGATGACTGGTAAGGTCATCTTAACCCTTGACTTGGTGTTGTCAGCACCACACTCACCCAGTGAGCTAACCAGCCATCCCTATATAGGGATCCGAACCCGTGGCCTTGGTGTTATCAGCACCACACTCTCCCGAGTGAGCCATGGGCCGGCCCAGTACTGGGCTTTTTTGAAAAATCATGTGCATATATTATTTTTCCCCCCAATAATTAACAATATAAAACAACAAAAACAAAAATGAGTACAAAAGGGCATGTGATAAAAAATATGTCCCCTTCTCTAGAGGCAGCCAACTGTTGCTTCCAGGTCTTTATGGGTATCCTTCCAGGTTATGTGAGTCTATATCCAGTTTCACAGGATTATATAAATTAAAGCATTGTAAGAATTTGGGATAGTGCTTGGCACATGATGAGCACTCAGTAAACTCTTAACTCATATCGTTATTATTACCCGTAGAACAGATTTCTAGCTGGAGATTTGCTAACTAGGGTATGTGCACTTTCCATTTTAAATTGCCGAAGATGTTCTACCAATCTGCACTCTCAGAGAGGAAGTATGAGATTGCGTGTTTGCACACATCCCACCCAATACTGATTGACTGATTGATTATTTTGGCCATTCTCCTAGGTTGAAAATGGTATCTCTCTCTATCTCTCTCTTTTTTAGTTCTCATGGCTTGTGGAGTGGTCTTATTCTAATTTTATGTTTTATAATGAGTGGAGTTAAGAAGCATAAGAAATATGCTTACAGGGCATGATTTTAATGCTGGTAAAAAACAGAATCATGGTAGAAACCAAACACACATACTCACAAATCACTTTCATTCCTTCACTGTTTAGCCTCCAAAGCAGCCTGATCACCTGCCAGTGGTACAGAAAAACTTGTGCCTGTTTCCCAGATCAGATCCTTTCTCAAATGGCCAGATCAATTACCAAGATTCCTAAGAACATGATGTCTTGTGTAACAAAAATTAAGACTGTTCATGCTATTTGACCCAAGCAATTTCACTTCTAGGAATTTATCCTAAGGAAATAAATGGAAAAGACCTCAAAGACATCTGCACATGATGTTCGTCACAGTGTTGCTTGTAAGAGCAATAAATCAATCAATCAACAAATAAAAAGGAAAAAATGGAGGCCATCTAAATAGCCACTGGAAAAGGATTAGATAAGTCTATAACGATCATCTAAACCAGATTAGGCTCATTCGATTTTAGCTGTAAAACAGAATGAGGTAAGAGCCGTGAAATAGAATGAGGTAAAATTGAATGAGGTACAGTATAAATGTACCATACATTTATATAAAATCCCAAAACAGGCAACACTGATCTATGGTATTGTAAGTCAGGATAGGTGTTAACATTTTGGGAAGGTAGAGATTGGGAGGGGCCCTCTAGGATATAGGTAATGTTTTATTTTTTGGCTCTGGGTGCTGTTTCCACGATTGTGTTCACTTTATGACAATTCATTGAGCTATATACTCACAATGGGTATCTTTTTCAATGAAGTATATCATATATACACTTCAATTAAATTTTTTAAAAATGGAGATAAAATGTTAAAATTTGGTGCCAAGGTATATGGAGATTCATTGTATTATTCTCTCTACTTTTGTGTACATTTGAAAGTGCCTATAATAATAAGTTAAAAACAGAAAAAAATAAAATAAAAATCTAGATTTACTGAAATGGAATGATCTCCAATATTGTTAAGAAAAAAGAAAGGTGCAAAACAGAAATGAGTTATACTAACTGATAGGGAAAGATATAATAAGTGAAAAAAAGAAGATACAGAACAGGATGTTCTTGTTTAAAATAAAACACACATATATGCACTCCAAATGCATAGAAGAAAGTATAGAAAGAAACACACCAAAAGGTTAACCGAAGTTAACTCTTAGTGAAATCAAGGGTGGCTTTTTTGCTTTCTTGTTTTTCTTTAAGCAATAAACTCTTATTTTCATAATTGGAAAAAAGCAACAAAACTAATCTCTAAGATTAAAAAAGAAAAGAACCTGTCGTTGCTGATTTTGATGTAACATCTCAAGAGGAGTGTCCCACAGTGTCTGGAGCTGCAACAGCTTCACCTGGACATAAAGAAACTCACCCAAGGACAGTATTTGGAGGGACCTGGTGCCAAAAGTCTGTTTTCTCTATCCTGGGAATCCTTACAGTCTTTAAAGGCTGGGCTAATGCACTGCCCCAGCTTGCTGGCTGTCCTGTTCAGATTCCATTCACACTTGGCTGAACAGCCAGAATAGTAGTTAATAACAGCACTATATAGCAGTTCCTATGGAAAGGCACAGCATCTAAGTACTTTATGTACATTATACCCATTTAATCCTCTGGAGTAGGTATTGGCTCCATGTTTTTGATGACAAGATGGGGCACAGAAGAGCTTAACCAACCTGTCCAAAGTCTTCCAGGTAGCAGGAGGCAGAGCTTGGGTTTGAACCCAGGGGGTCCAGCTCCCAGCATCCGTGTTCTTCACCACTATGCTATTATACCTAAAGATACCCTGGTTGAATCTGAGAGCCCTTACATGACAAGCAACTAACTGCACGTGACTATCCCCAATCCTATCTAAAGCATTAACCCAAATTCTGAGGGCAGAAGAGGAAGACCTGGCATCATCATTACAACAGCCAACGTGTATGTGCTGAGCTGTAGATGAACTATTTCATTCAATCCTCACCTTGTAGGAGGTATTATTATCATCTGCATTTCACAGATGAGGAAACTGAGGTTTAGGGAGGTGATATAACTTGCTCAAGGTCACACAGAATATTAATAGCAGAGTTGGGTGCCAAACTACTCAGGTAGTTTGGCTTCAGTAGTGCCTGCACTATTAACCTCCATGGCCTCTAGTGGGGGATGCAGGTAATTGGGTAGTGGTAGGAAGCAGGGGCTGATCCCCACCTCGTCCGCGGGATTTGGCTCCTGGCTTCACAATCCAGACGTTGTGATCCCCTTCCATGTCGATCTGGGGTACCACAGCCCGGAGCTGCTGCAGGACATCCTCACAGCGCTGGACCTGAGAGTCGAGGTGCCTGAGTTCTGCCCCCTCGCTGTGGGGAGATGATGGGACTTGAGCAGGGCCTGGGGACAGGTGGGTGGACAGGACAAGGGGAGACATAGGCCCCCCCTGGCCATGGTCCAACCAGCCTTGTCACCCCTTCCCCTAGAGATCCCCTTGTCTCTCCCAAACCTCCATCCCCACCCTCAAGCCACCCGCCAAATCCTAACCTGCCCAGACTACGGGAATGGGAAATGTTGGGAAAATTCCATTTCCTCCAACCCCACCCCCGGACTCCAACACTCTACCTTCTGCCACCTCCCTTCCTATTACATTAAAATTGCCTTTGGCAGAATATAATCATTTCAGCTCCTAATGATGGAGTACCACTATGTACCAAGCACTGTGCCAAGGGCTTTCCATATATTATCACTCATCCTCTCAACAGAGCTGCTGGAGAAGTATTACTGGTCCCATTTTAGAGAAAGTAAACTGAAGCTTGGAGAGTTAAGGGACTTGCCCAAGTCCACATGCTGAATTGAGTGGCTGAGCTAGGATTCAAACTGCCTGATTCCTTCATCTGCTGTTGTTTTTTGCAGTTCACTTTCCTCCTAATTCGGACCTAACCCTGGTTGATAAGTGGGCCCATCCTAGCCTAATTTCAAGCACATCTGTATCATGCTTCTCTCTGCTTTGTTCTCTTCCCAGCACCTACCACCACCTGAAACATACACTTACCTGTGTCCCCTCACTAGAACGTAAGCTCCCGAAGAGCAAGAACATTTTTGTAGTTGTTCTCTGTTGTATTCCCATCCCCGAGCACTACACCTGCACATCAGGTGACCCCTAAAAATTTGTTACATGAGTGAATGGTTGGCTAAGTAAGCACTTTGGCAGGAGCTGGCCTTAGCAACTGGGCTGTACAGACAGGGGTTTATGGATAAAGACGGACCCTGTTCCCTACAGGACAAAATGTCCTGAGCTAAACCAGGTCACAAAATACCCCGGATAGCTGCCTTGTCCACATTCTCCCACTTCTTTGCTTCTAACTGAATAGGAAGGAAGCCTCCACTAGCTGCTAACCTCTCTTTAACCTCTTAGCCCCTGTATGTCTCCAGCCATGGAAAACTTATCTCTCTTTTAATGAGGGGGCAACAGCCACTGGGGAACAGTGGCAGGAACAGGGAAGGCCAGATGGAGAGGGTTTGGCAAGGTCTCCCAGGAATATTCACACCTAAGTCCTGACAAACTTTTCCATGGTCCATGGCACAAAGTATGTGCCCAGTAAATCTGTGATGTGGCCCAGGAAAGTGTCATATGGGGGGGTAGGGCATGTATAATTTGCAAAAGTACGAATATATTCAACATGACAATATGATTTTATATTTAGCAAAAAGAAAAAAAACCAAACAACAACCAGTGTTTTTGTGGAAAGTCAACCTTAATAAAAGCTTGGCTGGTGAGGTGTGGATTTGTAAAACAAAAGTTGAGAAACATAGCAGTAAATATTGAATGAATGAATGAATGAATGATAATTGTCTGTACTGAACCACTCAGCACTATATGTATCTTATAGGATGCATTCTTTTGTGTAATCCCATCTTTTGAGAGGCTCCTACAGGCCTCTAGAACTTGTCTCCACATCAGGAATAAAAAGGACTTGGGTGCTTTACACCTAATGTTTTACCTCAGCCTTGATAATTCTTAAGTTTAGGAAGGATGGCTTTACATTTTCTGGTAGCTAAGTGGAAAGAATAGGGTCACTTAGTTGTCATTTTCTGACATGTAGAAAAGATACAAATGAATTATTTGCTAATGATGTGGGTCTGCTGATTATATCATTCATTAGTTCTTCATTTTCCCCTGCTGGGGAATGAAATCCATCCATTCCTTTCTGTCAGTACCACCCCAGCTGAGACCCTTAGCACTCCCACCTGCCTTGTTGCAGACCTCCCACTGTGAGCTGTGTCCCCCTGGAGGGCAGCAGATGCACTTCATTTCTGGACCCTGGCACAGTGCTTGGCACACAGGAAGTGCTCAAAAAATGCTCACTGAGTGTTCTCCTGCCATCAGGGGCCTTCTCCCTCTAGTCCCTCTTGCATGCCTCTGATAAGTGCAATCTCCCAAAGTAGCACCAGTCTCTTCTTGATACTCCCTTCCCCTGCTCAAGAACGTTTTCCCTAAGTGTGTTCTGAAAAAACTACTACCCCTCCGATGCTTGTGGGAGGGAGGGTGCTGGGGCCAAATGAAGACACTGCATGCTCCATCTCTCTTGGGGGTTCGCACCACCAGTAGGCTCTGAAAAGTCCTGCATCAAGGAAACCTGTTCAACTTTGTTCAACCCAGTGTTTTCTAAACTTGATTGACCACAAAAGCCCTTTTTTCATAAAATCTGTTTACTTCCTAATTAGCTTCCTGTGCAACACACTCTGGGAAATGACCTCCAGGATACAATCTAAATGACTTAGATTCCTGTTCTTTTTTTTTTTTTTTTTTTAAAGATGACTGGTAAGGGGATCCCAACCCTTGAATTGGTGCTGTTAGCACCACGCTCACCCAGTGAGCTAACCGGCCATCCCTATATGGGATCCGAACCCGGGGCCTTGGTGTTATCAGCACCGCACTCTCCCGAGTGAGCCACGGGCCGGCCCTTGATTCCTGTTCTGTGAGTGGATACTATCAGCCTATGCTGAGCACATAATACAATTTATCCTATCTAATTCCACCATTGAGGCAGACATTATTTTTATTTATTTATTTATTTAAAAAACATTTTTTGGCAGCCAGCTGATACATGGATCTGAACCCTTGACCTTCAGACATTATTTTTAAATCTATTTTGCATTCGAGAAAAGTAAAGCTCATAAAGATTAGCAATGTTCCCAAGGTCACAGAGCTTGGAAGTTGCAAAGCCAGGATTTGAACTCAGGTCTACTTGACAGCATGGGCCATGATCTTAGTGACTATGCTACACCAAGAACCAGGAAGAGTGGCTTGGATCCTATTATGGAGGCAGTGGGAGCCCTTGAGGGCTCCTGAGCAGGAGAGTAGCACGGCGAACAAAGTGGGGAGGCTTGGGGAAGAGGTGGGGGCTGTGCTAGACAGAGCAGATCTGTCCCTAAGCACCTGTCCATGCCCCATGGCCCTGGCTGTGGAGGTACTCACTGGACCACTTGGTAGTAGCGCTGGAGGAAGAAGGACCAGCCCTCAGGGCTGAGGTACAGGGGAGCTTCCAGGTCCTTGTCGATGTCCGTGTGGGCTAGATTGTTCAGGTGCTCCTCACATGCACACAGAGCTTCATCTACAAACTCTGGGGACACTGACACTGGCTTTTTTTCCTGTTTCGTGGGCTGTTTGTTTCCTGTAGGGACAGGGAGGAGCCTGTCACTATCCCACATCAAGACAGTAACCTGACACATGCCACAGCCCCCACTGTCCCAAGGCCTGTCACTTACCTGAGACCTCACCCTAAAGATACCTGAGGTCCAGCATAAACTTAGATCCTCTACCACCCTGGGACTCGTCACTCACCTGAGACTCTAGTGCCTTGCCCTTAGCTCCCACTGTGCCAGGACCTGTCGCTCACGTAAGGCTCCATCCTAAATGTCCCCAAGGCCTCAACAGCACTTATACCTCCAACACTTACCTACAGCCTCTCTGCCCCTGGGTCCTCTGACATACCTGAGACCCTGCCTAAAATGCCCCTGGAAGCCTTGGCCTAGGTGAACCCAGTATACATGAATCCCCTCCCCCAAATCTAACATGGCTTAAGTCCCAACACACACCAGAAATTCAGACCCAGTCCCAGAATCCTGATATACATTTACAATCATTAACACACTGATAGGCTGACCTGTATATGCAATGCTACCACACACGAGGCTCTGATGCACACCTGAAAGTGATACACTAGAAAATGACCCCTCAGAGGATGCAAACTCACAGCCCTGACTCACCCCTGAACATCTGACCTCCATTTGAGCCCAACACTACAAAAGCTTAAGGCACAGGGTCTCTGGCCACACCTCAGGTCTTTGTGCCCGTTCCCCTCATCCTGGAACACAACAGTCTTCCTTGTACATGACACATCCGGGAGACAGCAATGAGAAGGTCTCCATCTGGAAGAGGCAGGGATTTTCCTCCTTCCTGTAGAGCTGCCTCTTACTTTCCTGAATCCCTCGCTGATGGGTCCCTGGATTATAGGACTAGGGCTTGGAAGTAGGAGCTAAATCCAGAGAGGGAAAAGGCAAGCAATGGGATGCGCCAGAATGTAGTGAGGGTTCCTCCCTGTGACCCCCTCCACTCCAGTTGTTCCTTATGTTCAGGCACAAGGGATCCTCGGGCCACATGTGAACTGCCTGGTTTCACTGCTTCCTCCTCCTCAGAAACCTGAGCTGCCCATGGGCAGGACCATGTCTTCTTAGTCTGTCCTCTTTAGGGTGCTCGGCCACATGCCAGGCCAAAGGGAGGGCTGAATGAGGCAGTGAATTGATTAATGAATGGATCAGAAGACAGGTGTGTAGGTAGTTGGGACAGAGGATGGATGAGTGGATGGACTGGAGGATATATAGGTGGTGGGTAGGAGGATGGAAAAGCAGGTGGACAGATGGGTGGATGGATCTGTGGAAGGACAGATAGGGGAGTGGATAGATGTATAGGGAGTGTGAAGCTGGTGTCAGGTAGATGAATGAGATCAACAGTGGGTGGGTAGGTGGGGGCTGGGTAAATGAAGGGATGGATAGATGGGAGGGTAGACAGATGAACAGACTGGTGATGGATGGGCAGATGAATGTGGACAATGCATCAATATGTGGATGAACAAGTGGGTGGAGAAGTGGGAGGATGAGCGGGTGGGAGAGTGGAGGTAACCACGTACTTACCTGAGGCCTCTTCCTCTTCTGCCTGGATAGAGTATGACTTCCATTCAGACTTCACCACCAGCTTGAGGACGTTGCGGGCAGCTGTCAGCCAGAAGTCCTCTGCTCCCGGGGCAGGGGATACCCTGCTCAGCCCCTAGGCTCGAGGCTGTTCTGGTTCCGGAACCTGATCATGACTTGCCCCATTTTGGATCTGGAACCTGACTCTACCTTTTCTGATTCCAGAATATGGGTTAGGACCTGGTTCCTGTTTCAGCTGTAGAACCAGACTCAGAATCTGACCTGACTTGGCTCATATTCTGCCTTCAGAATCTGAAGAACCTATTGTCTGATTTCCTTCTTCTGTTCCTGATCACTTTTGATATTTATTCTAGCCTGAGAACTAGATCTTGGCCCAAAACCTATTTTAGATTTAGAATATAATTTAAACCTAGCATCTGATCTAAATCTAAATTCTGACCTGAATTTAGAACATATTCTGGAGGTAGAACCTATTTTGCCTTAGAAGCCCGAAGCCCACACCTTTCTTTGGAACCCGATCCAGCCAATGGGACTTGATATATGCCTGGAACCTATTCTGGATTCCAAACTTAACCAACAGGCCACCTTTTAGAACCTGCTATAAAATATAAACTATACTTCCTAAGCTTTTCTGGAGGCCAGGGTTGACCAGGCTAGGAGGCTCACGAAGGGAGAGCACAAAAGGGAAATATACAGACTGGGGATATAGAAGGGAATCTGGAGGGCAGATGAGGGCATAGGGAGAGGCTCATTGCTCTCCAATATCAGCCAGAGCTCTAGTCCTGGTCCTTCAGTCTGTGAGGTCCAGGCATGGGGCTGGGGGTCTCCTTACCTATGAAGGCTTTTTTGTCATCCTCAGCCCCCAGGCGGTAGCAGCGTGGGAAGAAGGAGTCAGCATCAGCCTCATCAAACCATGGCAAATTCCGGAGATTGAGACATAGACCCACCTATGGAGTTAGTTGCTGAGGGTCAGGGTAGGACTTGCTAGAGAGCTCCAAGGGACTCTCCCATACTCAGCATGCACCCAGACAGCTCAGGGAGACCCTGCCTGGATGCTCTCAGAGCCTCTGCCCCACTGGCTAGGCATGACTTGCTCACATCTATCCCCATGTGTTCGCCTGAGCTGTCCCCTCTGCCGAGAAAGCCCATATCCCTCCTGTCCACCCTTTCACATCATGAAGGGACTGTCTCCTCTAGGAATCCTTCCCAGCCTCCATAATATAACAGTAGGTCACAATTATACAGCCATTCATCCTTGCCACAACCCCAGAAGATAGGCCTTATTGCTAGTGTTATTTAAAGATGAGGAAACTGAGGCTCAGAGAAGCTCAGAATGGTTTTATCAGCCAGAATGGGTATCCTCTGCTCAGGACAGAATGACTTGCTTATAGTCATTGTATTTGGTGTTAGTTCTGGCTACAGATCCCATTTGAATCCTTGAGTCCATTTTACTCATTATGTCTACATGTGCCAGATACCATGCAGGGCCGGATTTGAATTCAAGCCTGTCAGACTCCAAATCCCACTGATTTATACACCCTTCCCTCCTCCTGAGAGTTCTCTCTACTGACAAGAAGAGCAGGGAGCAGGGCTGCCAGCCAAGGGCTAGGGGGTTGGAAGCTGCCCTTCCCACTCCCGAATTCAAGCCTGTCAGACTCCAAATCCCACTGATTTATACACCCTTCCCTCCTCCTGAGAGCTCTCTCTACTGACAAGAAGAGCAGGGAGCAGGGCTGCCAGCCAAGGGCTGGGGGGTTGGAAGCTGCCCTTCCCACTCCCCTGGGGAGCCCACCTTTGTGGTAAAGGAGCCAGCCCGGGTGTAGTGGTTTATCATCTGATCCTTGGAGAGGAAGCGACAGTCCAGCACGTCCCGCCGAGAGGTCCAGATGAAGTAGGGGGTCTCGTTCCGAACCATGCGGGACTGGGGAGGGGGGGGCAGGAGGCCGGTGTGGGCAGAATAGCCTGGGCAGCTTCTCCCTGCTCTGCTGAGCAGGGTAGGTGAATAGGAAGGACACAATGCTTCCAAGGCGGCCTCTGGCCCACACGCTATCTTTGTATAAGGCAAGAAGAGACATCTCTCCCTCTAGGGCATGTGCTTGGTAAGCAGACAGCAGGCCAGCTTTTCAGCCTCCCTTTGGCTGTGTGTCCCTAAGCAGTGACCAAGCTGCACAACTGAATGCCACACCTTGTCCTGGCCTGTGGCCACCAGTGACTCCAAACCAACCAGCACACAGCAAAGACAAAGGCTCTTTCATGGACTGCATCTTTCTCTATCCTACCTACAACTCTGGGAGGTAAGATTATTAATTACCAATAACACCGCGCAGCAGGCCCTGTTCTAAGCCCTTTATGTTTAATCCTCCACTCAATCCTCACCACAACCCTATGAGGTAGGGGCTACTGTTATCCCCACTTCACAGATAAGGGAACTGAGGCACAGGGAGGCTAAGGGACTTGCCCAAAGGCTCACGAGGTTGAGCCATATGAAATTGCCAGTATTATTAAACCGTGCCTGACAGGCTGGCTAGGTGGCTCAAGTGGTTTACAGCACAGCCTTGTAACTCTAAGGTCAAGGGTTTGGATCCCCATACTGGACAGCCACCAAAAAGTAGAATAAAATAAACCTTGTCTGACATACAGAAATGGAAATTTCTTATAGTTCAACTAATGAACTATAAATAGTAAGTGGAGGTGCCAAACTCAAACCCAAGTGTCCTCATTCAATATTTGTGTCCTTCACACCATCATACCAGCCTCTTTCAGAGCTTTTTAAGCCCTTCCTTCCAGCCTTCACTTGCCAAAGGCGGAGGAATTATGGGGTTTTTATCTGGAAGGGGGCATTACCATGCACAGAGGTTGTGCTGGCTTCTGATAAAACCTAGCAGAGCTCTGAATCCCAGGCCAGCCTTGTCTGAGCCCCGCTGAGTCCCTCACCACTCTACCGGCTTTTCCAGCCTTTAGAGAAGCAATCAGTTTTTACTATAGATGGGGAAACTGAGGGCCAGAGAAGAAAAGGACACATCTAAAGTCATCCAGCTAGAAGCCAGTGCTCTCCCTCTGACTAGGCAGCCTCTGCTAGCCCCCCGCCTCATCTTGGCCCCCAGGGCCCTCACCATCAGAGCATGTGTCCCATCCAGGTCATCAAATTCCAGTAAATCATCCAAGTCCAACAGTGGTGGTGGCTGGAACTCCTCGTCCTCGTCTTCATCCTCTGTGGATGCAGAGCCCAGGCCTGATGAGGCCCCTGTCCCTGCCCCAGAGACCTGTAACACCTCAACTCTGGGACAGTGGGAACCAAAGAAAAGGGACTCAGGCAGGGGCATCTTGTGGAAAGGTAGGGACTGCTCACCGTTCTCAGTAGTGTCGCTGTCACCCATCACTGAACTATCCAGATCCTTCTGGGGTGGTGGCAGGATGGTTCCCGTGTGATGGACCATCTTCTTCTCCACCCAGCCCCTCCGGCGCAAAAGACACCGGATCACTGGGTAGTGGCCTTGGATCATAAAGATCTTTTTCTGCTGTAAGGTGAGAGATGGATGCTTGTTCAGTAAGTATCGCCTCAGTGTCAGATATAGTGGATATGATGGTGTATCAGAGTTATGGTCTCTGTCTTCAGGAAATTTTTATATTGCAGTAGGAGAGACAGATTATAAACAAGTAGAGATAAATATGCAGAGTAATAATGATCATAGTAATAGCTAATATCTATCAAGTACCTACTATATACTAAGCTCTTATATGCGTTTTTATTAGATACTGTTATCCCCATTTTACTGGTTATGAAACAGAGGCATAGAGAGGTTGAGTGGTTTGCCCAAGACCACACAGTGGTTAAGTGAAAAAGCAGGCTGGTTTAAATCTGAACTTAAATCTAGGCAGGCTGGTTTCAGAATATGATATTTAGGGACCCAGAGAAACTACTTAGAAATACATGGTCAGGGAAGGTTGAAAAAGAGCCACCGATGTACAGAGCTGGGCAAACGGCAGTTCAGGAAGAGAGAAAAGCATGTGCAAAGGCCTTGAGGCTGGAGAGAGGCCAGAGGGACTGAACGGAGGCCAGGGTGAGAGGAGTGTGAAAAAGGAGGGGAGAGATCCTGAGGAAGTAGGCACTGGCTAGACTGTGGAGGGCCCTGAGGCCTTGCAACAGATTTGGGTTTTACAAGTTTGGCTTGCTGCCAAAGATGGAGGGGACAGGGATGGTGGCAGACCTGTTAGAAGGCTGTTGTGGTTTGCACAGCAGAGATATCACAATAGCTAGCTAGGATGAGGGTAGTTACAGTGGAGATGGGGGAGAAGGTGCTAGAATTGAGGTTTGTTTTGAAGATACAGATGATGACTAGTTTTGCTGATGGGATTAGATGTGAGGATGTAGAAAGAGAAAGATCAGACTTAAGGGTGAGCAACTGAGAGATCTCGAAGGCCAGAGACTGGAGAGGGCGACAGGCTTGGGCAGGAAAATCAGAGCGTAGTTTGGGGCATGAGTTTGAAATGCTTGTAAGTTCTCTGGGTGGAGATGTCAAGTAGGGGGCAGGCTCTACGGGGTGTGGAGTTAAAGGCTGGGCTGGAAAGGGCATGTAAGAGATGCAGCACACTGACTGGACTCAGCATGGAGACAGCCACGGACTGGGGAGGGATCCAGGGAACCAGTAATGTCCGAGGAATCATCAAAGGCAACAGAAAAGTAGCAGCCAGGGAGAGAAAAGGAAACTGGGGGGCCGGCCCGGTGGCGCACTCAGTAGACTGCGGCGCTTGGGAGCGCGGGGGCGCCACCGTGGGTTTGGATCCCATATAGAGACCGGTCCGTGGGTTCGGATCCCATATAGAGACCGGTCTGCTCACTGGCTGAGCGCGGTGTGGGCATGACACCAAGGGTTGCGATCCCGTTGCCGGTCGCGGTACGGGCGTGACACCGAGGGTTGTGATCCCGTTACCGGTCACGAAAAAAAGACAAAAAGGAAAAAAAAAATACTTCTCGTCAAGGAGTCCTAACTTATTTCTCGGGCCGGCCCGTGGCTCACTCTGTAGAGTGCGGTGCTGATAACACCAAGGCCATGGGTTCGGATCCCGTATAGGGATGGCCGGTTCACTCACTGGGTGAGCGGGGTGCTGACAACCCCAAGTCAAGGGTTAAGATCCCCTTCCCGGTCATCTTATTAAAAAAAAAAAAAGAAAAGAAACTGGGAGTGGGCAGTCAGACGCTACTGGGGAAGGGTGCGTGGGGCAGTAGCAGAGAATGACACAAGCTGCCCACCCAAGATCAGGACAGAAAAGAGGCTGCTGGATTTGGCTCCTTGGAGGGCATCGGAGACCTTAGAGTGGTTTCTGATGGCAGTGGGGAAGGGAGGGAACCAGAATGGAGGGAGTGCGTCTCAGGTGAGGAAAGAGTGAGTAGTCAATTCTGCCAGAAGCTTGGCTCCGAGGGTGAGGGGGGAGAGAAAAATGGGGCGGTAGTTGAGGACGGGTGTGGAGTCAAGATTATTATTATTCTTTTCTTTTTTTTAAAAGGATGTGATTAAATAGTGCAGGGAGGCAGGCTGAGCCGCCCTTTCTAAACACTCCCCCCATCTCCGACCTTGACAGCTCTGTCCACGTGGATTTTGGCGTTTCTGAGCCGGCCCATGTGGTGAGACGCCTTGGAGAATCCTGGCCAGAGGACAAGGGAACCTGCAGAAAGATGCGGAGTAAAGGCCGGGTGGGTTGGGGGCTCGGCCTAGGGTCTCAGTCTAGGTTTCTCCGATGTCCCTTCTCTTTTTGCATCCTTCATCCGAATGCCCGTCCCCCGCCGCTCCTCTCCCGACCCCCTCTCCTTCGACCCCGGTTTGTTCTCTTCCTCGCGGCCGTCGCAGGCTGGGGCTGGCGGGCCGCTCTGGGCCTCACCGTCCTGCGGCGGGGGATCCTCCAAGGCCGGGGTGTGCGGGGTGCCGCGGGGGG